CACTCATAATGAGTGTGGAAATCTAGGCACAAGGGGCCTGGGAGAGCACTTCAGACAAGAAATCTGCATAGTGCCATGCAGATGTATCAGAAACTGGTTCAGCACCTAGGAACAGATTGCATGACAAGCATCTCAGTACTGCTTTTCATGTTTTCACCTTCATCTTACAGCCTTGTAGCGTTTTTTTCTTCCTTTAATTTTATCCTCCATCTTCTATTCACCCTCCAGAAATCTCAAAACATAGGCTTACAAGATCCACTTTTGATTTCAAAGTGACAGAAAGACATAATTTCCCTGTAAATCCTGCAGATAAGATATCATGAATGCGAATTTCCCTCCCCACCTTCAGCAACTCTTGCTTAGACAGAGAAAAGGTCACTTGATGGCTATGGGTGCTCAGGAGAAGCACCGAGTGTTAAACTTTGTGTTTCTTTCCCATCAGAAATGGCTCTCCTCCCCATTCTCCACATCTTCCTACTGTGTGAACAGCACAACCCCAGAGATCTCCATGCTTGAGGTGATGCAGAAGAATGACCAGGAATCACAGCTTCTACTTTCCAAGGGCACCCTAACTCCTGAACCACCCTTAGAAACCAGTGGCCACTCTGTATCCAGCTGCTTCACCGACCAAGGCTACTTCTTCTTCCCCCTTTCCAACTCCTTTGAAATTGAGCCCTGCCAGGTATACTTCACCTATGAGCCTTTCACCCAGGAGGGCATTGGCAGTGGGAATGGCAAGCCTTACTATGCTCTACCCTCCCCAGACCTCTGTACACTGGCAGAGGACATGCCAGTGTTGTCCCACAACTTCTTGCACTGTATCAAGCTGACCCGGGGCTTACAAAGCAGCTCCCTCATGGAAAAGATGGAAGGAGAATCCCAGCAGGCCATGGCTATTTCTGGGGTTCTCCAGTCAAGTGAAGGCACCTCACTAACACCAGTTCTGAAACAGAATGAGAAGGTGATGGACAAAGCAGCTTTACAGCCTCCTGGGGCCCCGTGCCAGCTGGACACTGACTCTTCTCACCCACCAGACCTGGATGACAGCAATACTGTTGATGTAACGGAGGGGAATGGAGAGGCAAACCCCCCGACTGACCCCTGTACACCAGCAGTACATGATACCTCTTCTTCCTCTCAGCCTTCACCTCTAAGGCAAAGCCAGAATGAGGATTCATGCAGAACAGCCTGCTCCAGCCAGGCCCCAAACACTGGTGCCTACCTTTCCCTGAGGGACCTCCAGTGCCAATACAGCTATTGCTCTGTCTAGGATCTGCCTGGAGGAAACCCACAGGTGGGAAAGGCCTTCTCTGCAGGAAAGGCTGGAGAGTGAGTTTTCCTATTCAGGGCAAGAATGTGGCTTCAGCATCAGACCCATTGGGACTGTTCTTTAAAGAGGCTGGAGAGCCCAGTTACTCTAGAGGGCTGCAAAACCAGAAAAGGGATAGGATGGACAAGGTGTAAATTCATGGATGTCTAAATGAGTAAATACCAGTTCCCAAGGTAAAGTGTTAGTGGAACAGACCACTGGAAATGGGAGGACATTTTGTATGGAGAGCTAGGCTAGTGGGCAGTAAATCAACAGATGGAAAATGATAAAGGCACGTTAAAGCTGTTCAGTGGCAACACAGCTAATGGAGACATATAAGCCTTAGGCTTATTCGTAGGCATACAGGCAAACAAGGACTCACCTTTGTAGCTGAATCTGTTTCTCTTCTATTACTGGATCTGACAGCATAGAAACCCCTTCCTGAACTGCTCAAGTGCCATACCAAATTGCACCAGCTTGTTTTTAACTTCCCAGCTCCTTAGTAGGAGGCTGTGCCAGCACTTCCATGCTCTGCATCTTGGTGTGAAATAGCACTCAGATTTGATGCCGAGCAGCCACATGGTCCATTTGCCTCATCCCAGCCTAAAAACCTCTAACAGGAGGGAGAAATGCCTGAAAAGGTAGACAAGAGATTTTGTACAAGGGACAGTAGCACCGCTGGTCAGTGCTGTGGCCAGTGATGAAATGAACGAAGACGTCTGACCAAGGGTATAACTTTTCCTGTGATGTCCCCACTTCAGGTTTTAATCAGATATTACATTCTAAGCTACTCAGTCCAGCTTTGGACTTGAGTCTCTAAGGTAGGCTCAGAGCCCCAGCTGTGTCAGCTGTCTAAGGCAATGTAGTGTAAAAACAAATCCCCATTATTGGGTTAAAAATAGTGGGGAAATCCCCCTCCCCCCTTTCCCCCAGGTCTGATGATGGCAGTAAAGAGAACGCACACAATTTCCCATTCTTGCTGCAATATTTTTCATGAAATCGAAAGCCTCTCTGCCCTGCTGGCAAAATACAGTTATTTGACTACGGTAAGCTGATTGCAGAGTAGTTCATCCCACATCCTGTATTAGTGGAAAACATCACAACACTGCTGCCCATTCCTTCCATTGCTCAAGGGAAACCATTGCCTAATTAGCAGCAAAGATGTGGTGAATAAGCCCAGAAAACTAACCCACAAATCAGCACCTTTGCTGAAAAGAAAACCCCAATCCACTCACAAAGAATGGGGATAGCAAAGGCCACATTGTGTTTTTTTTCTTTTTCCTCTGCATTTGCTGATCTCATTTCAGAAAAAGCAGCTCAACGTGGAAGAAAAGTGGCAAGGCAAAGGAAGACAAGCTGTTCTGGTTACACACATCCCTGCATTTAACATCTGTACTGTCTATCTGCTTTCTTGCATATTTCTGGACTACTCAGCAGTGGGAAAATATCAGCCCTGTGCTAAAGATCCTTCTTCTAAGATTTTTTATATCAAAAAGGTCAAGGATATCAAACTCATTAATTCTGTCACCCCTGTGAGTATCACTCAGAACTAATTATTCCTTACCCCTGTTTGTACAAGCATTGAGCTTCCCCGTTGTCACAGTTCCACACTGTTACCTGACCTTGCATTATGCAGACGGAATACCATTATGAATCCCAGGTATGGGGTACCCACTGGCTTGGATTTCACCACAAAAGTGCTGCTCAGAGGAGCTGAACCTGAACATAACTGAGAGGGATGGAGGAGCTAAACCTCTCCTCTCATCAGCTTCTTCACCACCTGCATCAAGACGTGGACTGCTCCGTTGTCTGCAGGAGACAACGGCTGAAGAACACCCTACAGCTTCCTGGATAAGGAAGCACAAGGCTTGCCCAGCTGCTTGTTATACATTCAGAATCTTCCCAGATGGACTTCAAAAAGACGTGCTGAATCCCATGCCCCTGACAGGCAATTTGCTGTTTTACATGGGCCAAGTATCCTAGTTGTACTGATGGTTATCCTGTCCCAATGTAGATCTTCATAAGCTTTTTAATTATTCTCGCTTCTGAGTACAAAAGAAAAACTTTCCCTCTTTGCAAATAAAATAAATATTTAGTAATCTACAGTGGATTTCTGTCCTTTGGTGTGGGGGGAAAGAGTTAACAGCTTTTCCAAACAGATGACTACACAAAGCTTTGCTCAGTATACCTTTAGCCTGCCTTCCTACTTGCTCCCCTCAGGGAATCAGCCACCTAAAACAGAAAACAGAGTTGGAGGTGATCCTGCCACAAGGCCCTGAGGACCATCCTGCTGGCTCAGTACTTTCTCCCCTCCTTGTGAAAATGCTGACAGGTTTCGAGCTGGCAAGCTGTTAATACTGCATTCGCAGCCATGCTGGGTGTGAATGCGTGACACACTGCAGCAGGAAGTGCTCAACATCAGATCTGACAATAACTGGACCTTTCTTCCAGGAAGACAAGATCATGTGGTCCTGTATGTGAGTAACCCAGGTCTAGAATACTAGAAGCATAACACTCTCAGTGATACGGCGCCCTTTCTCTGCTGACTCCCCGAGAGCTCCTCGGAAATGTCACACGGGGAGCGGTTCCCTCCAAAGCCAATGTGAAGGCATAACATATGGTTCACAGAACCACAGAGATGCTACGATAGCATCCACCAGTACCGAGGGAAACTGAAGGGGAACACAAGTATTGTGTGGAAAATATTGAGCTAACAGCCACAAACATGAGTCCTCTCCTTATCTTAAGGCTAGGGACAGCAACGATAGCAGTCACATCTCCCATCAGCCTCTTCCCAAGATACCTTGTTCATACATAGACATTAACTCTCAGTCCTCTCCCACATCCCTACTTTCTTTTTACTATCAAGAAGCAGAAAGTAAAGGGTACTTGCAGTAAAAGAATTCGTCTGAAGTCAGATCTGATCAAGGTTTTGGGTCCTTGGTTGATTAAAAGCCTGCGGTGATGGATGTGGTAAGTTTGCTTAGATAGATCAGATTGAGATTCTACATTTTTTGTTCTGCTGAAAACAACAGAGAAGGAGGATGCTCCTTTCCAGGAATGTTGAACACAAAAAAGTAAGATCTCTGGCACTGGAAAATATCCTCAGCTGAGTTCTGACCCACTGTGACAAACCCTCATAGTCTGAACTTGGGAGAGTTATATACAAATATATATATATATGTCTACAGACATAGCTAGTCCCCAGTTATCTGGGGAAATCTCGGATCAAAGTAACTTCTAAAGAGAAACCTGGTCTCTTAAATCTCTTGGGCAGTTCTGAAAGCAGCTTGTAGTGCCGTTGCGTGTCTCATTTTCCCATGTGTACAGCAATGAGTCAGTCGGGCTAACGACATTGACATATTCCTCAAAAAACCCTGCAGATTTTCATCCACATTTAACATTTATTTACTAGAACCCACTGTGAGGCAATGAGAGCAATGGCTTTTTGATCTTCTTGCAGTCCTGGACTAAACCTGAAATAGTGGCAGAGCTGAAAGCAGCTATCCCTGCCCAGCTGCCAAATAAGCCTAAATGAGCTCTGGCACAAAAGAGCTCAGCCACAGGTCAATGTCACTGGAAGGAGCTCAGTCCCAGATTGAGAGTCGCCCATGTGTGCATTCCTTCCACCCATTTATTGACAGAATAACTCTATTTACTCTGCTCTAGCTGGATTGTATTCCTTTTTTTTGGAAAACAAAGGGGCATGTACAGAGCTGCAGGGCTGTAAGTAGGTGGTGCATGTAAGGTAGGTGAGAAGGACCTGGGGCTAGAGGAAAGCAGCTGCTGCAGGGAGGATTGAGTGGCTGTGCAACGGAGTGCAGGGAACCCAGTGTCTGGAGAGTGGCCATCAAGAAGAGCAAGAAGACAAGACGTAGGCAGGTTGGGACTGAGAGACACCGTGCTTTGCTTTCATCTGCATGACCACTGTGGTAACCAGACCCACTGTCTACTGTCATCTTCCCTCCTTCAAGCAATCTACACCTGCCAGCCAGCATCTGCTCCATCCCTGTGCTGGGGAGCACACACCCTGTGCTTTGTCTCTCCCTCCAATGGGACCAAGGAGGGTAGCTAAGAAATACAGCTGTTGCTCAGCAGCTCCTTCTCCCCCAAGGAAGACAACGTAAGCTATCTGCACCAGCCTCCTGGTTGTTCTCTGCACGGCTGGAGGTGCTTCTACCCTGACTTATTCCAGGCTCAGCCTGCAGATCTTATCCCTGCACAAGCCTCCGAAACCTCCATTTCAGAGAAGAAAAACCCCATTGTACGGGGTGCACTGACACATCGCAGCAGGACAGCACAGGACAAAGGTCGAGCTGAAGGGATATGGCACCACATTATTGATCGCTGAGACAACCTTGAGCTTGGGTAAATAAATGTCCTCCTCTCTCCCCCCTCTCCATGCATGTGTGAGCTGGCTTGCATAGGGGGTGTGGGCCAAGCCTCACAGATGGCAACAGGCTTCAAAGGTAGGTCTGCAGCTCCAGGGGAAACCCCAGTGCCTACCATCAAACCTTCTAAGAAAGAGACTCTGCTGCTGCTGCTTCCTGCCTTCCTGCCCCTGCCCCTGCCCCTCTGTCTGCGGTTCTTTGCTTGTGCCTGCTGTTTCTGAAGGGATGCTGTGATAGCAGAGAAGTGCCTTTGCTCTGCTGGACCGCCCAACTTTGTTCACTGGCAAAGAGATGCTCCCCAGGGGTTGCATAGAGGGTTGACCCATGAGAAGCAAGGGAGGGCAATCTCTGCTGGACCTGTTTGTACCATGTGCCTCTCTAGAAGGGTGTATTAGAGCAGTAGATATGTGGCTGATTGTCCAAGTGCTGATGTTCACCAAGCTGGGTTTAATGTTTTGAAGTGAGCTACCTGATGCTTGCTTTCTGCAAGTGTGTTTTCATGTTGCAAGGCAGCCTGGAGGGCTTGGGACTCTGTAACTGGGAAAAGCAAGGAGACTCAGGAGCCCACTCACCCCTATCTTTGGAATGATTTGTATCACCCATGCAGGCTAAAACGTGCATGAGGCAAACCACCTCTTCCCACATATGCAGCAAGTCCATCCCATTCACTCATACACACCATTGGGCACAAAGGGGACTCTCAGACATGTAGACAGGGCACAGGCATTTCCCAAAATCTCTGTGCCCTCCCACCTGGATGCCTCACACCCCTTTGCTCTGCAGACACAGAAACACAGAAAGCGTTTGTGGGCAGCCATGCACTCAGTGATGGCAGAGGAATGGAGAAGGAATTTGGGTCAGACAACCAAGATCAATGTGGCTCCCTTCATCAATGGCATTTAGTCTGATGCAGTCAGAAGGGGAGTGGTGGAGAGGAAGCAAAAAAGCATCCTGGGGGAGACAAGGGGCAAAGGAAGACAGATGTGCCCTGGCACAAGCAGAGGGTGGTAGGGGGCTGAGTTACTCAGGTTATCTCTCCTCGCTAGCTAAACTAGCATGGCCTTAGCCCTGGGAAACACAGTCTGGTAGGAATGGTAAGGCTTGCATACTTTTAGAGACAGAGAGCAAAATGGAACAGCAGGCAAAGTGCAACTTCTGCCTCCCAGGCTGTGGCTGTTCTGTGCAACTTCTGCGGGCATCTGAGATCATAGATTTTCTATTGTAGTGATTTCTAGGTCAATAAAATACCAGTTTAAAACTATTCCCAGCCTGGGAGGACAACACTTGTGTCTCTGGAGAAATTCATTATTGCACTCATTTGTGGTTTTGGCAGAAGCAAACCCCAGGGAATGCCTTTGAAAATTAAGAAATTACCAGGAGGCATAGACAGGACAATGGCCTGGAAGCCTGTCTCCCATGGAATTAGGAGTTCTACTCACGTTTGCGCTGAGCAATGTCTTTGATGGCTGGCACACAGATCTCTTGGGGCTATAGAGAGGAGCACAGAAATGGCAGAGCACCTCTAGAGACAGATGTGAAGGGAAGCAGAAAACTCATCCTGACCATGGAATGCTGTGTCACTAGATGCCCCTGATGGAGGCTGGGGAACAAGAGGAAGATGCTAACTCCTTCTCAAAGGACAAGTGTGAGACTAACTCACGTGACTGCCTCCGCTACGTGCCCATTGGGATAACCTTTCTTCTGCTGGCTGGAGCTGCTGCAGCAACCTGGTATTTCCTAGGTAAAAATCCAACATGTTTTGTTCCCACACACGAGGTGGATGGGCTGTAGTCAACGCAATGCCCACCTCAAAATGTGTTAGTGACTCTGGGTGATCTTTACAGACTTATACACATGGGTAAACCCCTCTCTCTCACGTATCAGCAGAGTAATCCAGTAGTGTCTTCTGTTGACAGACTACAGACCATGGCACCTGGAACCGGCTATCCTGCAGTATTACTGTGGCAGCCTCCAGGTCCTCAATCGCCAGTACTCCCCAGACCTTGGGCAGGTGGAGTCCAGAGCCTTCTGGTTGGAGTCAGCTAAGCTCCAGAAGATGGTGAGGCCAATTTCATGACCAGAACTGGCCCTGAGGCAGTTCAGTGCGTAGAAGGAGGAAGGGGTCAGGTACCCTCATCCAAGTGACAAACTTGGTGGGTCTCTACAGCAAGAGGGATGGAACATAGGGTTGGCCATAGGTCCTTTGCCACTGTAACATTGCACAATAGTTATCAGACGACATTCTCATTACAGCTGAAGGAACTGATTCGTGCCACAGAGCTGGGTCGATATTACAACTCGAGCACAGTGTATGCCTTTGGGTGAGTAGCACCCACAGCATATTTGCTTGTTCGTGTGTGAAAGCTTCCAGTCGATTCTACTCCGGTTTCATCAAAATCTGACCGTGACAAACTGCTGCAGTCCCTACCATGGGCTGTAGGCTAGGCTGGGCAGCCCAGATCCAGAATGATTCCAGCATGACAGAGCTGGGGATGTTTTGATGTTTATGTTCATCCGAGGTCATAATGAAAAGCCAAAACTGAGGAATTTTTCAGAGAAGCAGAAGTTAGAGAGAGGGGAAAAAAAAAAAAAAAAAGGGCTTGGCATTCTCAGAATCTAACCAGATGGAAATTAACTTTCTAATTCAAGAAAGTCATTTTATGGCCTGATTCTAGGCACCAGAAGGGAGAGGCCAGAATGCACCATGGAAAAGGCATTCCAGCCAAGAAGCACGGTCCATGTGGGAATAGGGTAACAGTGGAATTGGACAGATGTGATACTGCAGCTTTGTAGATCAAGAAAGCAGGAATAACTTCCGAACTGACATATATATTGCTTTTGATTTTTTCCATGGAAAACTACTTCCCTGAAAACGTCCTTCAGCTAAGGAAAATTGCAATTTTAGCAAAGCTCCATTTTCAACTGAGGAAAACAAAGTTTCACTCTCAATTCTTCCTCTAGCCTTTTACTGAACAAAGGTTTGCTCAATTTTCTCTGCCAGCTGGTTGAACAGAGCTTTCCCAGTCATAGTCTCCTGCAGCTTGAGCCTGCCCAGCATTAATGGCTTGTGGTAAGGTACTGAGTCATAAATCATCCACTTGTCACCACTGGGACGTGACACAATCGAGTCTTGAGTGCTTCTTTTCAGTGCCTGGTCAGTAGTAACCAAAGGTCATTTCTGCCTGAAATGAGACCAGTCATTAGAAGAGTCTTGATTAATTATCACATTAATTTGACCACCTACGGTCATCACTAAAGCCAGATGGCATAAAATGGCTTCCTCCCCCAAACAACTGAGCATTAACTAGCACCATGGACGCAGCAGGTCTCCCATCCCACAGAGTGGTTCCTCTGGATCGCAGCAGTGATCTGGAAGGTCAACATTGATAGGTCTGATTTGTGGAAAAACAGCAGGGGCTTAATCTCTGGGGTTTTCCTCTCCAGTGATTCTGAAGAGGAAGACAAAGGATATTTAACATGCTATTTCTCTGTTAGGGAGGGGGCTCTGACCTTCTTCTTCTGGTTTGCCCTCCAAATCCCTGAGAGTCAGCAGCAGGAGATGACTGCCGAGAGGGTAAACACAGTGCTCCACCAGGAGCTCTCCACCAGCTTCAACAGCTCGGGCAGCCTGTCCTACCAGACAGAGTACACGGTCAACCCTGACTCACTGGTTCTGCTGGGTAAGTACCAGCTGCTCAGCTGTGGCCTGAGCAGTCAGAAATGCTCCAAGATTTTATAAGGTGCCAAAAGGAGGCTAGGAGAACAGGCCAGAGGCCACTATTGAAGGGGATAAGGGAAATGTGAACAGAATAGGGAAGAAGTGAGGATCAGGAGATAGAATTACACATGTTTCTTCCTGATAGAGAAATGAACTTTGATTAAAAAAACCTCAAAACCCTAAAACATTCTTCCTTTGAAGGATTAAAGATTATTAGAGATACAGCTGACCATGACCAGTTAGGCAACTTTTTCTTCTCCCCTCAGCTTTGACTTCTCTGGAGTAAGATCTTACACAGATCACGACTTTGATCAGCTCAGCTCAAAAATAGCAAGCAATTAGGTTTCCTGCTTCCCTTTGGGAGATTATTTCAGGCTATTGATTGAGAGAAGAACAAAGGCAACATACCTGAGTCACCACTTGTTTTCCTCCGAGACACAGCATTGTTGCCACTTCATTTCTTGACATATAATATTAAGGATTGTTTCTTTTTGCCCACAGTGAAGATCAAAGCCTCTTTAAAAAGCTACCCTTACAGAAGTTCTTTAAAATAAGTGTGAAATAAAGGACTAGGGATGTGTCTATATTCAAGGCATCCAAACCCAATGGAATTTGCATTTGGTCTTTCTAATGAGACTTAACTTCTCAGCTTTATCGGATTTCTCTTAGAAAGCCCCAAACCTCACAGGTTTTAAAATACATTGGTTTTCTTCTCTCCTCTTGGGACTCTCATTTCCAAGTTTCTTCTTCATTTCCAATTTTTTTTCCCTATACATTTTATCTCATATTTTTCTAAGGTGAAACTTATTTTAAATACCCCACTCTCATTTTCTGTAACTTTTCCCTCCATATCTCAATTGTTTTATATTGGGGACAATTTTTTTGGTGTCCCCAAAGAAAATTTTATTTCCTCAAAATGACTTTAACTCCCTCATCCAGAGCATCATGTCAAGATCTTATTCTGGAGACACATTAGCATCTCATGAGGGCATGTCCGTCACAGTTACCATTAGTCACTTATTTCTACTTATTTTTTGTTTCTAACATACCAGACCTTATGCTCAACTGATTTAAATTAACTTTCTTTAGAAAAGTATCATATTACGTTAAATGCTTCCAAGTCAGCCCATCTAGCATTTTGCCTTTCTACACACTTCATAATGTAACTAATAAACAAAGAAAAATGATGGTGCCATTTTTTAAGCTGTTCCCATTTCCATCTTATTTGCATCTGTTTCACTGTTTTATTCATTCCAGCAGGCCACGCTTCTTTCTGTTTTGGTATTTACACACCAGTTGTAGCTTCTCCAGCTCCTTCTGCTTTCTCTAGTCCTTTCCACCACTCTCTCAGAAGCACAGTCTAGCAACTAAGGCAAAACCCAGAAACTTCTTATACTGCTGGGCCAGGGTGACCTCAAGCCAGTGACTTAACCTCTGGTTTCATTTGCTCTGAAAAACTGGAGTGAAAAAATAGCTAGCTAATAGCAAGTCATTAGCACTTCATTGCTTTCTGACAGACTCATTTGCTGACCTGCTTAATGTTAAGACACAGAGCTGCAAACCATTGACTAGCACAGGAACCTTTCCAATGTTTCATTTTTACTAACACCTCCACTCGCCCCAGGACACTGCCTTCCCCTTTCTCCCAAAGAGTTTCAGGACTACCTTCTCCTTATAGGAGCTCCTTATTACCTTCAGATGAAGAGTACTTAGTATCAGTTCAGTCTATGTCCTTCCCTACAGCACATGCGTTTCTCTAGGAGCCTGCCTTATGCCGGCAGGATCGTCTTTTCCAACACATCTGTTTTTGCTATGACAAATCTGCTTAGCTCTCCCCACAGAATTGCAAGCTCTGCTTAGGAACTACAAAAGACCAAAGCCCTGACCTAGGCAAAACCCCAACAGCAATTCTCACACCCAACTGACCTCACAGTGCCTTTTATTTTGGCAATTATTCTCAGTAGCACCTGATCTCTGGCGGCTCCCAGTTCAGCTGGAAGGCTGGAGCAAAGCCCAGCTCTCCTTAAAATGTTGTCCACCCTCTGACTTTGTTTCATATTGGTTTGTAGTCCTTGCTGGTGGCTTTCTCTGCATCCCCCTTCTCCAGAGGTGTGTTCTGCAAGGATGTCAAGTAGCTCATCAACCGGTGGTCATCAAATGAGACCTCCTTCCCCACCCTCAGTAACTCACACAATTTTTAGTGAGGGTTATTTAAACTAGGAGAGCAGGGGAGGGGAGGGGAGGGAAGATGGTGAAGGCTCTGGGAAGTGGGGTTGTTCCCTGTGGTGTGGTTGGCGGAGGAGTAGGGTGGCTCCCTGAAGCAATGCCCAGGCCATGCTTCCCCATGATTCTGGGCAGAGGAAGAGGTCCTGGAACAGCACAGAAAAATGGGCAAGGAAAAATGGTAGAGAAGCCCATGGTAGACTGGAAAGTATGGACTTGGGCTGTTGGGTTTGGGGCAGAGGCCAGAGAGATTTCTCAAGAGAGACGGGGACAGCATGACTGAAACGGCATGGCTGAAACAAGTTCCTGAGAGCAGATGGAGAAGTACCTGGAGGATGGCTCATACTGAAGTTGTGAGCAAGCCATTTACACAGGAAGGAAGGGAGTCATCACCTGCCATGCTAGTATTCAGATGCTACCAGATTTATCTTTTTGTTTATCTTCCTTTATATATTTTCTTTCTAACAGAATCCAGTGTGAAAGACATAGTAGTGCTGAAATCCACTCTGGGTAGGCTATCTTTTCCTTTCCTTTTGAGTTTGTGATTTTATGGGAGGGATTTTTATAGGGCACAGAAAGCTTCTTTGCTTCTGGAGTTGTAAATCCTGGGAAAGGGAGATGAGAACAGTAGCAAGGGAGCACCAATGCTGCTGCTTGGTCAGATCCAAACTACGTGAAGCAGCTACATGCTGGGTGGCTTTGAGCATCTTGACACCTCTGCCACAGTAGCACACGACTGTGCAAAGATACCAGCTCCCAGCTGCAGCGCAGCCACCTTAGTCTTGCCCTAATGAATGAGTTCTGATGAATCCCATCAGATTGCATGGTGTACTGGTACGACAGAGCTAATCCCAGGCCCCGTGGAATTCTGCTGAGTGGGGATTCTCCTGCATGGCTCTGCACTGGACGTGTTGTCAGTCATTTAGGGGTCTGTTGCCTTAGCAATGTTTGAAGATGCTTTTATTAATTTCAGGTAGTGTTGTAAGTGCTGTGGCTGGGAGCTTGCATCAGATATACTGTTAGAAACTCATTTTTAAGCTGACTTCTATTCAAAAATCTTAATATGGAAGCCTGGTGAAACTTGGAAACCAGGTGAGAGGGTTGTAAAGCAGTGGAGAATATGGGGGTGAGAGGAGAAAGAGGGGAAGAACAAAATAGAGCTAGTAGAAGATAACTGCTCTGTGCTGATATTTAAAGCCTGCGGTAGTACTAGCTTAACCAAGGAAGAGGGGTCAGTTTTTACAGAGAGAAACTGGGGCAACAGTAAAAAGGGACCATTGCCATCACAACATATGTAAAAGTAAACTGAGATCACTGGGATGAGTCAGCCTTACCCTGAAATAGGGCTCACTTACATTGATTTCCCAAGAGACAATACCATATCTTAATTTCCGTTACAACCACCACTAAGCCCTGCTTTGCTTCCACTTACATCACCTCGCAGTTTCAATCCCTCTGTCTTTCCTCTGGATTCAGGTTGCTACAGGTACAGCTATGTCCAAGAGGATGACGTCCTAAGGCTGGAGGGCCCTGACTACCTGGCCTCCAGTTGTCTTTGGCACCTCCATAGCCTCAAGGGCTACATGATCAAGCTGCACCTGGAGTGGACTCTGACGGACTGCAGGGACCGCCTGGCTATGTACAACGCAGCCGGGCCCCTGGAGAAACACCTCATCACCTCGTAGGTAGCTCCTGAGCAGGGCAAGCACAGTGGGGAAGCCGGGCAGGATGGCGCGACACACCACAGCAGGGGAAGGTGTTAGACTGCATTAGAGGAAATTCTCTTTGATGCAGAACCTGTGTCTTGCTGATGAGCCAAAGTCACTGATGTGGGATATCACAGAGCCTGCCATGCAGTCTGAGAGACTACAACAGCACCAGCTGTCTCTCTGCTGGCCTGTTGTTTGACTCAAGTGCCTCACAGCAGGCATGTGCTGCAGATAACACAGACATCTATTGTCTCTTTCTCATTCTTCTTGTTTGTCGCTTGCTTCACTCCTAACCTTTTACCTCTTTCCTCTGAGGATCTATGGCTGCAGCCGGCAGGAGCCCATTGTGGAAGTCCTTTCATCTGGCCCTGTCATGTCCATCGTGTGGAAGAAAGCCATGTACAGCTACTATGACCCTTTCATCCTCTCAGCGCAGGCAGTGCCCCTCAAAGGTGAGGAAGGCTGGAGGAGAGAGGCCATAGACATAGAAAGGACACAGGTTAATTCCTGCATCACAGCTCCTAGAGGTGCTCCATCCTCATTAGGGTCAAAACTCACTCTATATTGCAAGGGTAAAACTGGTCAGTAAAAAGGTTAGATGTTATTCCCTCACCTGTACTCACACATTCACAGCTGGCTCAAGTCTTTACAGCCTAAGGTCTGGCAAGCAGAGCCCAAGTGATTGTGTTACAAGAAGGCCAAGTTCTCGTGCATGGACAAACCAGATGTGGCCTGGACATCACATCCACATGCACTTACAGATAAATATCAATTCAATATGAATCTAAAGCAGCAATTTACATCGCCATTACCCTCTCTGGACAGGAGAAGGAGGCTAAAAGTCTTGCCAGGTAGAAATGGCCCCTTGCAGGGGGACTGAAGTGGAAGATCCCAGCCACCTCTAGCATTAAGCCTTAGAGCCCTTTTTCTCCTACAGTGGGATGAGTATATGGCATCCCCAGGCTGAGGTAGCAGGGCTTTGAATGTCTGTATTTACAGCCTGTGAAGTGAACATAACCCTGCGGGAGAGCCTGGAGCTGCAGGGGAAGATCGGCACCCCACACTACCCCAGTTACTACTCACCCAACACGCAGTGTACCTGGCACATGACGGTAAGAGCCAGCTCCCACAAGAGCATCCACCCCATCCCTGAAACCCATGCCCACATTCAGGGGGATAAGGGGTACAGCTGGTGCCCTCAGTCAGATCTCCATGAGAAGCAAGCCGAGGGTGGCACGCTGCCTAGCCTCCACATAATGTGTGTTTCTGAAGGGAAAGGAGTCTAATATTGGCAGAGCTACCCTGGGCTGCGGCACGGCCCCAGTTTAGAGGGTGCTCCCTTCTGGCCTGCAATGTGCGTATTGACAGCTTTCCCCTTCACATCTACCCTGCTCGTTTCTGTCCTATGGAGTGAGCTGCAGCACTCACAGGAGCCATCGACAACCTGCTCTGGACCCCTTGCCTGCAGGTCCCATCCCTCAACTATGGGGTCACCTTGTGGTTTGATGCCTACTCGCTCAGCAGACAGAAGCACGACCTGCCCTGTACCCAAGGCCAGTGGATAATTCAGAACAGAAGGTGTGTCTTGGGGTCCTCGTTTAATCCACCTGGGATTAAACCGGGATTAAACCTCTGGAGGTTCCCTGCTCACTTCAGCCACCAGGTCTGAGGAAGGACAGGCTATCGCCACACTCAGTGGCCGCTGTTCGTGCTGGTGCCTCTTGCTTTTCTAGTTCTTTTTCAGCCTCTCTTATTCACAGGCTCCCCAGTGAGCACATTTCTTGCAGAATTGCTTCAAGTTACCAGCCTGTCTTCTCTGACTTGCTGTTTGCATCAGGCTTTCTAGTTTTCTCCCATGTGTAACCTTGGTGTCCTCCCACATCAACTTGTGTTTGCAAATCTGCCTGTCACCACCTCTGCAATATTATCTGTGTGCCATTGCCTTCCACCCACCTCCGTACAGACCTTCTGCCTAGCTCCATATCCTCCTGCTTTGACTGCAGCTGCTTTCCACTGCAGGACTTCCCAAAATTAGCACCCATACATAGATGGGGGCTCTGCCACCACCGAGAGCTGCTGCACTCCCATCTCCCCAAAGCAGGCTCGGAGACGGATGGACCCATGGCTTTTGTTTTTCTCCTACATACTGCAAAATTGCCTCTTTTTCCCTCCAAAACTTCCCCCAGCCTGTCTCGTTAACTTCCTCTGCACTCCTGTGGGGGTAACTTCTTTTCCTCTCAGGTGTCTTTCCCAGAAGCAATGTTCACTTGCTTTAGGATTTCCACTTTTTCTCTCCCTGCCTTCCTCTCTTAAACTGTCAGCACCACAGTTACACCGACATGGCTTTTTCAGGAAGATAAATGCAAGGAATTAATTGCTTTCTGTGGTCTGAATTCAGCTCAGAAAGTGGGAAATGTCCAAAGACAGGGTTGCTCTGGACTCTGGATCTCACGCCATAATTGAAGGCATTTTCCCCATACCCAGCCTGTGAGGCCCCCTTCCCACCCCAGCCCCACTGAGCCCATTTGGCTGTCTTCTTCCTCTCTGCCCGAAGCACCCTGCTTGTGTTTGCTCCCCAGGTTGTGTGGTCTGCGGACCCTGCAAGCCTACGCTGAGCGGATCTCAGTCACATCTTCTGCTGATATCACCATCACCTTCACCTCACAGATCTCCTTAACTGGCCCCGGCGTACAGGCAGCTTACAGCCTTTACAACCAATCTGACCGTAAGTTCAGGCTCCTGCCTGCTCCTCAGTGGGATGGTGGCTACCAGCTCCCCCTGTGTACTTGGCTTGTGTTACAATAAACACCAGGCACATCCCATGAAACCTAGATGCCATCAGCACTTCATGCACGTGCTCACAAATGTGCACACACTCATCTCCCAGAGAGAAGAGGCATTTATGTGCAAAGCTGTTTCTGCACATTGTGGCCCTGCCTCATGCTGCAGAGCATCCATGTGCCAAAACCCAAGGTCAGAGAGTTGACTACAGCCTCACTCCAGTGCCCACATCATGGGCTGGCCTTGGGAATTCAGAGAAAGACCAGCTTGAAGTGGCTCTTATGTCAGCTACAAAAGCTCTTAGAGAGAGCTGTTTCCCGCTCACCTTGGAATCTGTGTAAGTGAGAGACAAATAAAACCACACACAAATACACATACGTATATATGCAAATGCACGCCCACAGTCTGTCTTTCCAAGGTTTCTCCATCTCCCTCCTAAAGGGTGCCTGTAACACATACCAGTGCCTGGATATGCACACCTGCAACATGTCTGACACAAACCAAGTTTCAATAACAACCCCAAAGGACCTGTTTCAGCTTTCCCACAGCATTCAGGAGTCAGAGGTACAGCACCCCAAGAGGGTGGCTGTCCTGGCTCTTGCCCATTGGTACACCGGGAAGCAGGGACGGGGCCCTCCCTCTCCTGATGTATAGCATGGCTCTGTTTGCCCTTGTTCAGAGCAGATGATGTGACACACCTGTGGTCAGGGGATGTGCAGCCCCATTTTCAAGCCACAGCGCTCTGCTTCAAGGAAGTTTCCAGTCACTGAGGACTAACTACTCTCTGACGGTTTCACAGCGTGTCCCGGGGAGTTCCTGTGTTCTGTGAATGGTCTGTGTGTCCCAGCCTGTGACGGGATCAAGGACTGCCCCAATGGGCTGGATGAGAGAAACTGTGGTGAGTGATTTCTTCTCCCCGATGGTCCTTGCTCTCAGCAGGACACAGCCCCTTGCTGCTGCAATGGCAGACAGAGATGGGAAGGATTCATTTAATCTAAGTATGCCCTTGTACCTCTCCTCCAGGAGCTTAAACCTCTGCATCCTTAAAAGCCTCAGCCCACTGCTGTATGGCCTCAGCCTGCTCAGGAAGGAGCAGCAACACCTCTTGCTCTTGTGTACAGCACAGTCGTCCTGGGAGAAATCCCTAGTGTCCGTGCACTAAGTGCTCCAAGCAGCCTGAGAGAAGTGGAGGCTGTCCCTCACCTTGTCCTTCTCACCCCCTCTTCCCCAGCCCCGACAATCAACCTCAGCCCTGGCTGACAGCCCCCTCTGCTGTCACAGAACTCAGCATCCCGCTTCCAGCCCTCCCATCCTGCCCACATCTCCCCCAGCCCACTCACTGCCCTGCTCTCTCCCCTTTCCCCCCTCAGCTACTAGATCTATACAGATCCTCACCCATATATTGCACCCCAGGTTGAGAGCATCTAAGTCCTCAATCAGCCATCAGTTCTTCACGCCAACAGCAGTTAGTAGTGATGCAGACACCATCCCCGGCATCCCAGGAATCTCACAAAGCCCCATTCTCATAGGAACAGCTATTCAGGCTCATGCATGGCACCTAATTCATCTATTCTCTCATCCCTGTTGTAAGTGGGGGGGTGCATCACACTGCTGCCACCACTTAGTTTTCATTAGCTGTCCCCTACAGCTGTTTTTCTCAGCTAGGAAGATCCCCGAACCACTGGAGACAGTGGTCAATTATGAAAGATTCAGAGGAAAGTATAGAAATGTCTAAAGTGAAAGGAAGGCGAAATCTTTCTCACTGAAGTTTTCATTCAGCGCTGGAAATCTGAGCGCTCTCACAGGATCACTGAGGTTGGATTTTATACTGTCTGTGGTCTTGCTGACAGCACACACTGTCCCATCATCTAGCTGTCAGGGCTTTCTTGCTTCCCTCATGCATATACACCCTTATGAATATCTAATCCTTTCTTGGATCTTGGCCCCAGGCATTTCTTGTGTCATTCAGTTCCAAGTTCAGACCAAGACTGAAGAAAAATGTATTTGTTTCTCAATGTTTTCAAACATGCTTTCATATTTGAAAAAGAAAACAGAAACATCACGATTTCCTTCCTTTCTTACACTCCTGCCACTGTTGCATCTGTTTACTCACTCTATGTCTGTGTTGAAATGTCCCTGTCTTTAAAATCAGTCTTTACGTTGTCTCAGATCTTCATGCACCTTTCATCATTGGAAGCCTCATGCTAATTATTGAAGAAATTATAGTCATTGCAATAAGAAAATGCCCTGGAGATACTGGCCCATCATGTTTTGTGTTGAATAGAGATGCACACTAACACTTGGCAAGTTCCTGATATAGAAATCTATAACCAGAAGTCAGACTCTGTGATGAGTGGGCACCTGAAGACCATCTGCATCCGTGCTGTTGGAGCTTGTGAGCATTGAGAACTGTTGTTCAGGACTCACCTACCAGAGACTGAGGGGAGCAGCCGGTCTGCAGGGGAAGGTGACCCATGAGCTGAGGGTGACAGCAAGGCAGGAGGAGCAGTGAGCTCACCATACAGGATGCAGTCATACAGAAACTGAGCAAGGCGAGTGGACCAGGTCTGGTGGGGGCCACCTGGGGTCAACCAAGAGTCTAATGACTTCAAGGCAAGTCCATAGTGATGAGGCAGGTCTGAGGACAAGCCAAGAACTCAAGGAGAGTTAAGTCAGCACCAGCAAAATATAAGACAGGGCGCAGACATACCTACAACATAGATCAGGCAAAGACCACACAACTGCACTATACCAAAGCTGGTCTTAATCACACCTTATGTATGAGGCGGGGAAAGAGGTTGCAGAGCCTACTGGTGGATGTAGGACCCTAACCTTCTCTTGCATGGCTAATTCCCAGGTGCTTCCCTCCCTTCCCTTGCAGTGTGCCCTGCAAAGTTCCAGTGCCGTGAAGACAGCTCTTGCATCGAGTTCAGCAAGGTCTGCAACCTGCAGGTGGACTGTGCCAACGGGAGTGATGAGGAGCAGTGCAGTGAAGGTAGGCAGGGGACAAATACCTTCCACTGTGCTCAGCCCAGGACTGTCAGTATTGTACTTCCCTCTTGTGAGGTAAAGGCACCAGCAGCGGGTTAACGTGCCCAACCTGATCACTATGTTTGCTCTGACTGTAGCTGACCAAGCTTGCTCAGGACATCCGCTGTCATCATTTACAGAGTTCCCCAAAGCTCTCTGTTGCCTTCCCCCCCCCCAAAGGACTTTAGGCTGCGCCTACAACCTGCAGCCCTCTCTCTTTGCAGAGGTCCCCTGCAGTCCCTTCACCTACCGCTGTGAGGATGGGACCTGTGTGAAGAAACCCAACCCTGTGTGTGACTCCACTGCAGATTGCAAGGACCTGTCCGATGAGAAGAGCTGTGGTGAGGAAATGCTCAGTCATACCTGTGCCAGGCAGGTTTGGGGTGCCACAGAGCCTCCTTTTCCTCACCACCATCAGCACCCACCCTCCCTTTTTCCACTACCTTCTCCCTACCCCTGCCCCATGGCAACAGTGCCGGTTCTCCATCCTGCAGTGGAAGCAGCAAGGAGCCATCTCTGTGCCGAGCTGTGAGCAGGCGTTTTCCTCTTTGGACTGCTGCTCCCCATCTCCTTCAGGCAGAGGCAGCAGGCCAGATAGACGTGCCTCACATGCCAGGTCCTACCCACAGGCTGCCTGTTGGACCACGATGCTGGCTTATGTGAAGTAATGCCATCCTACAAGGCTCCAGCCAGGGAAATCACCTGAGACTGCACGGTCACTGGCAGGAAGAGAGTTTCTGTTTTCATTTCCCTGCTTGTTTTATGCAGAGCCTTGGTGGGAGGTGAAGGGGAATGACTGTGAGGGTTCCCCAGCAGCACAGCAGGTAGCACAGACATGGTGCTGCCCCCAAAGACATCCCCAGGCTAAGGCTGTGCAGGCATCAATGGGGGCACATGCAGGGCAGAGTGCTCCTTAGACCTGTCCTGCACAGTACATAAAGCATCTGCTTGCTGGGCAAGGCAAGGCATTAAATGTCAAATAAGCAGGATTTAAGTCAGAAAGGAAGGGCAGGCACAGTACATCACGTTCCCTTCCTCCCCTGAAGTACCTGCTGCATCTGCTCTTCCTCAGACTGTGGGCTCCAAGCCCCTCTCAGCAGGATCGTGGGGGGTAAGAATTCCGTGGAAGGGGAATGGCCATGGCAGGCCAGCCTGCAAGTTCGGGGGCGCCACATCTGCGGGGGAACACTTGTTGCTGATCGCTGGGTGGTTTCAGCCGCGCACTGCTTCCAGGATGAGAGGTAAACGGAGAGGGGAGGGTGCTGGGAGGGAGAAGGGCCTGCACTGCTTTCCATGCCATATGTGATGGGAGGATTATCATGGCTTGCAGCTGGAGAAAGGGGTATGGGTACACACACTAGTGTTTGGGTGTGCATCAGGGAAAAAGGAGCAGTGCTGGATTCACAGAGCAGCTTTGGGAGGGCAATGGTAGTGGAAGACACTTCACAGTTCTACCTTTGGTTTGGCTCCGGCTTGTCCCCATGCTATGACAACCATGGAGGCTTCAGCATGTGCTAGGATGGGTCCAGGATAGCATTACCTGTGGAGGATGCTGTTTGGGTCCCATGCTGTCACCTTCAGTATGGTGACACCAGCCTTGGTAGGCCTGGGGCTGTGCTGCAGTTGCACTTCTCACCTCACCCTCCTCCTGCCATGCTCCTACCTGTGTCCTACAACCCTTCAAGGAAGCCCACCAGCACTGGGAGCAGGGCTTTCAAGTGGCCCATGCAGGCTGAATTGACCATTTTGGAGTGTCCCAATGCTAGATGGGGGGGAGCTAGCACAGCCCTGTTAGATAGCTGTACTGTTCTCTGTGTATCACCTTGTTAGGCTGTTCCTGGCTTTCACCCCTGTTCCTGTAAAGGGCTGTCATGCCTTTTAATACCCTCACTCCTGAGCTGCTTCTCTCACTTTACTCCCTCTTAGAAACCTCTGAGAGCTTGCTCTCCTTCTCCATCTCTCCTTCTCCTTGCAGCTTTGCTTCACCCACTCAGCCCTTCCTCTCTTCCCTATCACAATGACTTGCACACGACCAGCCCCACTTGCTTGCCTAACCTATATACACATTTTAGCCTGCTTTGTGAAGGAAAATAAAATAAGCAAATGTCAAGTTTTCCATGTGAATGAGCACCTGCCCAAAGCTGGTCCCACCGTACAGGCATGCCAAGGCATCAAAAAATGTCCCACCTAGTTTCTTCATATCAGTAGCCAAATAAAAAAGAGGCCCCTCTGAAGAACAAGTTCATCCATATCAGATACTCCTCGAAAGACTGCAACAGAAATAGCCAGGCTCTGCCCATCCTTCTCTGTCCCTGTGACAAGTTATCTTCTCTGCTGCATCCCACAGGCTGGCCTCTGCCTCCATCTGGACAGTTTACCTGGGGAAATACTTGCAAAATGCCACCAGCCACACCGAGGTGTCCTTCAAGGTGATCCGCCTCTTCCTCCACCCTTACTACGAGGAGGACAGCCATGATTACGATGTGGCCCTGCTCCAGCTGGACCATCCTGTTATCATTTCACCCTTAATCCAGCCCATCTGCTTGCCTGCTCCTTCTCACTTCTTTGAGCCTGGCCTTCACTGCTGGATCACTGGCTGGGGAGCCCTCAAGGAAGGCGGTAGGTGCAAGGTCTTTGCTGGTGGCCTGCTGTAGCAGAGCCAAGGCAGAAACATAGGTTCAGATGCGAGGTAGGCAGGATAGACTTCTGTTTACCCCAAAGCATTATGCCTCCTTCACCCCCCTTGATTTTGGGTCACAGGTTGGATAAAGCTACCTACTGAGTACCTTGAAATCTCATTCAGAGAGGACAGCATGACAGTGTGGTAATCTATATGGGGACAGCATGCGTTCTTTAATTCAAAGACTAGAATGGTCCTTCAGGAATTAGGGGTCTGTGTAGTGCCTATTCAGCCATGATCACAGCAGGGAGCAGCCCCAGCCTCTTAAGCCCAACCCCATGTTTATATAGACATTTGCTTACAGCAACCTTTTCCTCATGTCAAAGACCCTCGAACCTGCATCCCCTCGGCCACACCTGTACTATTAAATTCAGTGGGAGCAGTGCAGTGCCCTGCTGTAAGTTAGACTGTGATGACAGTGAAAAGCAGAATAGAAATGGCAGCTTTCAGCATACAGTGGGATGGGCATGGGCTGAGGATCACAGTAAATGGTGGTAAGCTCCACCACTGCTCACCTGCACTATTTTTGGTGCTGTACCACTCAGGGCACATCAGTAATGTTCTGCAGAAGGTGGACGTGCAGCTCATCCAGCAGGACATCTGCAGCGAGGCCTATCACTACATGATTTCACCCAGGATGCTGTGTGCTGGGTACCACAAGGGCAACAAAGATGCCTGCCAGGTGACAGAGGAATTGTGGGATCAGGGTTGACTACCGGAGGTGGGGTGTGTTCCAAGTCTCCCAGATGCACACCATAGCCTGAAATAAGGGTGAAAAGACTGTAAAATGCGTGACTATCCCAACATTTCCTCTGATCTAAGTGTCCAGCAATAGTTCTTGGGACACTTCTTCCCACCATCTTTGCCTTAGGCAGGATCCAATTGCACTTAAACTTCTCCTTTTCTTATTTCAGCCCATTCTCCACTCTTTACCTCACACTTCCAGGTCATGTGTTTACATCAGTCTTTTACCCCTCAGCCTCTGTAGCTCTTGTCACGCACATTAGCCTGTGTGTTCCTTCATTATTATCAATTGCAAGGAATTCCTCTGTCTCCCATTCCTCCAGGTATCCCGTTAAATTCCACCAGCTTCCTTCCTCTCCATATGTTTGGAAATGCCACACAGAGCAGCAAGAAACAATGGATCACCATTACCCCATTTTCTTTTCCATTTCTCTAGGGTGATTCTGGAGGTCCCCTGGCCTGCAAGGAACCCAGTGGCAGGTGGTTTCTGGCTGGTTTGGTCAGCTGGGGAATGGGATGCGCACGTCCAAATCACTATGGAGTCTACACCAGGATCACCCAAGTGCTGGCCTGGTTGAACCAAACCATGAGTTGAGAAAAGTGCATCTCTGCCTTCTCGCCATGAGACCTACACCCACATTGCACTCATTCCTGATCTTGCTCACTTGCCTCTCAGAGAAGGAGAGTTTCTATGTAGGATGTTGTCAGACCCAGGACGGTGCCATGGGAGTTGTGGAGAAAACCAGGCAAACCTTCTTCCCTCTTAGTGCTTCCCAGGGAGCATCCCAAGGTGTTTTTAGGCCATCCATCCAAAAGGGGGGGGGGGGGGGGCTGTGCATGTGACACAACACACAGCAGCAGTCCAAGTTGATGGAATAAGGGGAGTTGAACTTTCCATGAACCATGTGATCCAGCTGCAATCTTATGCTGGAACATTTGCTGAAAGAAAAATGTGACTGATGTAGTTAGAGATTCCAGTAACTGTGAAATCAATCTGTCTCCCTCTTCCTTCCTGCTGCTCATCCTTCTTCCCCCTTACCCTCCCATCACTCCTCCTCTTCCATCTCCCTAATTGCTTCTTTTCTTAGCCTGCGCGTGCTGCTCAGTGTGCTGCTCAGCTCAACCAGGCAGCTCTTCACATCTCGCTGACTCCCAGGCATGAGTCCAGCATCACACCCCCAGGCACGTGTCCTGCCTCCCTGCTGGAGCAGCACCCAGCCTCTGCTGCTGCGCTTTCCCCAGGGAAATGCCCATCAGAGCAGCCTCCCATCCCCTTCCCTCTGTCCTTCTAAATACATTTAATGTGAGGGCGCCTCAACTGCTTCCATCTCCTAACTCAAGAGAATCCAGGAAGTGAAGGAGAAGGCTTCAGTGCTGAAACAGTAACTGCTATGGGTTTGATTTTTTTTACCAAAGATATATATATGTGTGTGTATATTTACAATGGGCCACTCTCTGAAATTAGAAATAAAAATAATTCGAGGGGTTTTTTTTGCTCTAGTTTGCATTACTGTATTAAAAATCATCTTGGGGTTAGTATCTTTTTGACCAAACTCCAATCCCGGCACTGAGAACTGGCAAAAATTTCCACACCCTTATGCTCCCTTCTCAGCTGTCCCCCAGGCACAGTGGGATCTAGCTAGAGAGATGGGGGATCCTCACTTATTATTATGATTTAGGGCTGCAGATACCAATAATACCCAGTTGACTGCAGTGGAGATGCAGCAGCAATGCAGTGGGAAGTATCTCCAGCCCCCGGAAGGCAGGTGCAGCAAAAGCAGCTTCTGGTGGCTCAAGGTGATGAATTCAAACTCCTCCAGCTCCCACAGCCCCCTTCTGCAGCACTACGTTTCTGCCACTTGAAATGAGAGGCGGCAAGGAATAGAGTGTGAATTTTATTTGGGAGTTACAACCTGGTGTCCTCAGGCACAGCAGTGAGGCCAACACCCCGCTCCCCAAGACAGGGATTACCACATCAGGTGCCAGCATGTTCTGGGTACACATCCATCTCCTTACCCTGCCAACACAGGGCTGCTCTGGGAGACAGTCAGGGAGGCACCAAGGATGCAATGCCCAGCACAGGGACACCCCACGAGCAGTGCAGGTGGCACAGAAAAGAGTAGTGTCTCTGCACTTGCCCTCTGGCCACAAGCCCTGACCTGCAACAGCAAAAGAACAAGGGGTACTTCTGATGCTGCCACCACCTCGGGGCCTCGGTTGCACTCAGGGTGTTGAGGAAGGGACCGCAAGCTGCAGTGGCTTATCACTGATGTCCCCAGCAGGGGCCACTGTGACATTAAGGATAGCCAGCCTGCTAAGCATCGGGGCGGTGACGGGGGGGCCTGGGCTCCAAGCCGCTCCAGCAGCCATGGGGCTTCATGCAGCATCTGCCTTCCTCCAGGGATGGAGGCTGAGGTCTCTGAGGTCAGTTTGTAAAACAGAGTGAAGGAGACTGGGGGGGTGGGGGGGTGTCACCATGGGGCAAAGGGTCGCCGTATGCCGCAGTACAAAAATAAAGATATAAATAAGAAATGAAAAGGCTGGAGTGCAGTGTCGGGATCACATCCTCAGACCTCTGGCTTGTAACAGCTAGAGAATGGAGAGAGAAAGAGAGAAACAAAATCAGTGGCAGGAAAAGAAAAGTGATTGAGCATAGAGAGAAGAGTGAGAAACAGGAAAAGGGAAATGACAGTGGAAATAATAACAGAATCAAAATAAAAGAGATGAGGAGTGAGGGTGGGAGAACAGAGAAAAGGAAGGACAAGTATATGTGATTAACATACATTGACTTTTAAGAGAGTAACACTCAGGTCCCACAGCCATGGACAAGGAGGTTATTGAACAGGAGAGAGAAATGTCAACCAGCTAACAAGTGCCCTTCACCCGGATGGAAAGTGGCACTGAGCACCTCCGGATTAACAAGAGTGCTGTGGTTTTCCAGTATGAGAGAGCAGTCCTCCTTTTAAAGCTTTCCGTACCCAGCCCCATGCATACCAGTTAGACAGCCTCCTTGAGCAGGAGGCAGAGCAGAGGCTTATTTTGCACGCAGCTGTAAGAGCATCTGAAGAGGGGACCATCCGCTTCTGCTCTGCCTTCACCACCCTCTCCCGCTGCACTCTTACCCTGCCAAAGGCCATGGGGTTTTGAAAAGCCCAGGGAAGTGAGAGCAGGGAAGGAAAAATAACAGGCTGCCTCCTGAAAACTGCTTTTGGGCTGGCAGGCAAAGGAGCTGCGGGCGGCAGCTTGGAGAAGTGATCTGGCATGCGTGTCAGGCAGACACGTGGCAGACTTCCCCCCCCTCCCGCCCCAGTTTGCATTCATTCCCACCAGCTCTGCTCTCCTTTCTGCTGTCAGAGCCTCTGGTCCAGAGCCGTAGGGCCTGCTTGGCAGGTAAAGACACACATAGGATGAGAACTGGAAAAGCTTCCTTAGAGATGAGTCAGCCTCCCCTCCCTCCTTCCCCTCCCCAAGCTCTACAAACCAGGGCCATACCCACAGGAGGGAAGTGAGTCACTCATGCAGAGCTCAGGCTGGCGGGAGCTGAGAGTGCAGACAGGTAACATACCTGCAGAGGAGGAAAAGTGAGGAGCAAAGAGAAACAGGGTCCAGAGCAGGGAACGCTTTGAGTCCTGGCAGGCAAAGGATGCTGAGGGAAGGATGCTGGAGAGTGGGGCAGGGTAGGAGGGAGGTGACAGTGCTGGGATGGACACGGAGGGGAGCAGGAAGGATGGTCTGAAGGAGCTCAGAGCAATCCTGAATAGGTGTACAGTCTGCAAATAAAAGTATAACCATAAATAAACCCAGCAGTATCAAATACAAAGCAGCAGCCACAGTGACAGCTCTCCTCAGTCAGCTTTGTCTCCCAAGAACTCCTGCTCCCTGAAAGGACTTCCCCATGCCCCACACCTGCCCTAGTCCTTCCCTGCTGCTGGCTGTGAGCTCTCACCAGAAAGGTGGACGGGTCTATGCTTGGGGGTTATTTTTATCATTTTCCTCAAGGATTTGCTGCACCTTTCTCCTCTGCTTCTGCTTCTGCCTCTGCCTCCTCCTCCATCTCCTGCTCTTCCTCCTCCAGGTCCTCCTCTGTGCTCTGTGGCCCAGCATGCAGGACAAAGGGAAAAAAGAGTGGATACTTGCAAGATCAGCCATGGTAGTTCTTTCTGACACACAAGGGAATAAAGCAATGGTCATGACACTGAAATAAAAAGGGACCTTTCCCCATGGCCAAGACAGTTCTGGGTCAGGGAGCATAGAGACTTGTCTTCCTCTGGAGCATCGCATCAGGGCTATCTAACCCACTTACAAGTGCTGTGATCCCACTGCCAAAAAAAACACCACTAGTCACTAGTGGTCCCTCCTGTACCCTAGATGTCTATAGCATGTCATGCACTGCCACATGTTTCTGTCCTTCCTTCAAAAGGGGAACAGATGATTTCCTGCCTCTTAGGCTGGGACTCAGCAAAAGGAAAGAGAACGCTGCAAAACCTTTAGGGAAATCACACTCCACAGGCAGAGTGACACACATAACACGGTCATGAGGAGGCATGAGGGGGATATTAGAGTAGCATGAGAGTGCTAGGGTCACTTGCTAAAGCCATTTGCCACACACAGCCAGACACCACCACTCTCAACTCACACTCTTTTTGGGCAATGGGTATAATGCCACAGTACTGAACACCAGGACACTCCACTGAGGTGCCCGACAGTCACAGTCGAGAGAAGAAAGAAAGAGGGAGCAAACAAGCAAAGGGTTTCATAGGCAAAGGGAGCAGGGCCATAGAAATGTTGGTCTCGCCTTGGCTTTGTGGCTGGGCTCAGAGCTCAGGCCACTGTGGGAGTTGTACAGCTCTTTGGAGACCACGCACAGGAACTCTGTCTGATCCTCATTCCCATAGTTATAGGATGAACCAATGTTCACAAGCTAGAAAAGACAAGAGCAAGAATCACAAGCACATGTTACTGCAAACATCCAATCCACCTGGGGAGCAAGGCAGAAAGCCCACCAAGTAGCATGGAGTCCAGTCCACACCCCCAATAGAAAGACCAGGAGAGGAGTCAGTCAGGATGCAAAACAGCTTAACGTCAATACAGCATCCTCCAAACCTCTAAAGAAGGGGCAAAATAGAGACACTGTTGATAGCACCATCAATGACTGACCCAACAATCTGAGAGAAGAAAGGTGCCTTGCCTGTGTACTGTATGGTATCCATGATCTTTTCCCCAAAAGACAACTGCTTCCCACCCTCCTCTACCTTCTCCATACCTGCTCAAAGCGCCATCCATCCGACATAGTGGAAACCATCTGAGTGAGCTCCTCTTCCTGGCACTGTAGCACACGGTAGACATGCTTAGGAGGTACCTGAGAGCAAAATTGCACGACATGTTAACAGCAGTGAGATGCTACAGGCTGTTGCCCTCCTGCAGAATGAAATGGTAATACCCCTGCTCAACAGACCTTTCCTCTTCCCCATGTCCCAGGTTAAAAAGGAGTGAAACCACAACCCAACTTTCTACTATGTTATCACGGGGAGCAAGAATAACAATATTTCTAGAGAGAAGGGACTGAGCTGAGTGCTTCCTGCATTGTCCCCAGAAGATACTGGGATCTTCCCATGGGGAGTCTGCATTTGTTGTTACAAAGCCACTTATGCAAATGCCACAACTGCTGATGGGGTTTTGAGAACACGAAATGACTGCGTTGCTGGAGGCTTGCAACATGAGGCAGACATAATGAAAAGCGAGGTATCCGCCAAAACTCCCAGAAGACGGATTTTAAAACGTTATTGAGCAAGACAAGGTGTGATTGTGCCATAGGTTCGATTCCTTGTGCCTCAGTGTCTGCATTAAACTTTTCCACAGACATGTCTTCACCTTTTCCATCCAGGTTTCTCTACAGGTATCCCCATTCTTTTCACTGTGATTACACTCCTAAGGCTCCCAACACCACAGCCTTCCTCCTCATGACACCTTCACTCTTCTCATTCTTCTATATCCTACAGCAACCAACTGCCTTCTTCCAAATGCTAAAGGAGCTGATTTGCTTCAAGAGCTACATCCAGCACTACTTCTGGGGACGCAAAACAAGCCTGTAACTTGCTTATTGCAATTAAAATGGTGATAGCTTGTTCCCTAAGATATTTTGTTATGTAGACATTTGCACACAAACTCAAATTAGTTGCTTCTTAACATTCCTTGCTGCTTCTCCCAGGCCTGCTCTCCCTCTAGACTCAACTCTCCTTTTCCACACACCCTTCTTTGCCCACCCAACACTATCTTTCCTTGCCATTTCTCTCCATACCTGAGTTACTGTGTAGTCCTTCTCCTCCAGTCGATCCTTGATTATTCGGATTAAAGGACCAATGTTATAGAACTCAGCTTCTTCTAGCACACCTGAAAAAGACAGGACCACAAAACTCAACAGCTCATCTTTGGCTTTTGGCTTGCAAAAGATCAGTTTTGCTTTCCAAGATCCATAGGGAGAAATGATGCTGCAGCCTCGCTTTTCCACAAGTTTCTGTTGCTTGAAACTCTTACTGCAAAGAACAGAAGCCTGTCTCTCTGCATTGCATCTCTAATGCTCACCCCAATTTCCTTATGATGCCTGCTACTACAGAAACAGCTACTGCCAGTGAAGGCTTGTGCAGAGAACTGCTAATACTTTTCCCACGTAACTGGCCAAAAAATGTAGGTTCCAGCCTCTCTCCATGACCACTAATTGTCACCTTGTTCAGGCCCTCTCCTAAAGGCAGAGAACTACAACTTGTTCTGGTGTTGTCACTAAAAGACAACCTCAGAACTGTGTTTATTACAATTCTGTACATTTCCTAGACATATTTTTGGACTTACAACTCATAAAATGATTCTGAGGAAAACCTTCCTTGCATTAGGTAAAAATACTAAGAGAGAGAGGCAAGAAAACTAATCAACATGCAGAAACTGTGCTTGGCAAGGGCTGAACAGCACAGCCTGTCTTTGCATTCAGCTCCTTGTTAGACTATAGCATCCAACAACATAACGAGGCATCAGGGACTGCTGGCTGGTAACACCATGATGTTACTGAGTTACCCATTAGACCTCTTGTAAACCTAAAACAAGAGATGCTTTTTGTCTGGCTTGCTCCACTGGAATTGCTGCAGCCCATGACCCATCACAGAACTAGTAGCATACATTGCATATCACTGATTAACGGTCTTTATTACAGTCAGTAGAGGAGGGAGACTTGGCTTTGTTTGGTCTTCTGGGGGGTTCGTTCCTTGTTAGAAATGCTCAAGCATTAATAGAAAACTCAGTCACAGAGCCTTGGTAAAAGTGGATCAGAAACAAGTAAAAAATGGCATATTGAGGCTGAGAGATCTTGCCTACTTCTGTCTTGGTGGCATCTCTGCTGAATGAATGGTATGAAGTCAAAACACCTTTAGGATGCCTACCTCACCTACTCCAGCCCCCTTTAAGAAAAGGAAACATTGGCATGCATTCCAAGAGCTGCAGGGATAGCCCTCTCAAATCCCCTCACATCAACCTCCAGAAAGATAATGAGCGACAACAAGTGCTATTGTGTCCTGCCTGCAGCAGTGATGCTAGGTGGGAAGCTTCTGAGCTCCAAGACTCACCCTCTTCAGCCATATCTTTATCCAGAACCAGCTTCCCATGACGGAGGAAATTCAGGATTGGTCCAAAGTAAGTGGGGTCCCGGTCTATTAGGTATGCACCAGTCTCATCCTAGCAACAGAGATGGACCACAAGGAGAAAGAAAACATGGGGAACTTGCAACCAATCCTCAAATACTCTGAACTATAAGAAAAAATACAAACCTAAGCAAAAAAAAAAGTCCACTATTTCTAAGATTCTTCAGAAATCAGCTGGTCCCTGATAGTCCCTACCCAAGTCAGCCCAGCTTGCATTGTAACTCCTGCATTTGTACGTTTAGCGTGCCCACCTCAGCATGGACCAACCGAGCTGCGAAAGCCAAAACAACAGCCCTCAGTCTCCTTCTGCAACTGTGCATGCAGGCTTGGTGTGAGGGAGCAGAGAGACCCCTTACAGGGGACAAGGCCGAGTCAGGCAGATACAGCTGAGAGCTAGATGCAGGGAATATGGGGCTATGGAGAGGCAGGAGAGCAGGGGTGGAGGGAAGATGTCTTCTCTTTTCCCCAGCTCCAGAAAGACAGATAAAAGACTACAACACAGTGGAATCTGGGGAGGGGAAATCATTCCCGGAAGAGGGGGGAGAAAGAGCAGGCATTTTTCACTCAGCTACTCCTGCAGCTCTCAGAGTCTGGCTCCATCCCTGCATCCCTCCAGCCCTCCCCAAGCTCAGTGGGGTACAGTGCGGGAGGCAACCCAGCTGCCTTACCCGGTCCGACTGCAGCTCCTCGCCCTGGCACAAGCGACACAAGAAAGATTTCTGCTCCCGACACAGGGTCTGCCTGGTGGTGAGGAAGACTGTGCCCCCCACATTGAGCCTCACCCACTTGGCATGAGTGCCAGAGGGTGGTGGGATGCCCCAGGTGCAGCTTAGCCCCACGGCATCCTGCATGTCCTCCCCGCCTTCCATCCTCATCCTCATCCTCACCCCCCCCCCCCCCAGCATGCAGGGACTGCCTCAGGTGCTCTTTGCCGAGGAATGCCGGGATCTGTAGTTTATCCACCTCTCCCTCCTCAGTAGCCGTGTTTCCTTGGGGGCCAGAGTCCTCCCTGTGACTGCCAAGGGAGTCCCGACGGCAGAAAGGATGCTCTGTGCTGGAGGATATCACTGCGACTATAATGGGTAGCAAAACCACAGCTCCACAGCGCTGACTCTCCCTAGCTTTTCTCCTGTTCACATTATCACTAACCAAGGGCTGCCAGCACTTCGGCGCTGCACGGTGTTATGCAAAAATCGTCGGCATCTATTTCCACAGGCATTCTCTCTGGCTCCTTAAAAGGTTCTGGGAACTGTAGTTTGCATGGACATGCACAAAAGGGTTCTGGGAACTGTAGTTTTCCTATCCTTCCATCCCTGCAATTAGGACGTTGTAAGGAAGGGGGCTGCACTGTACTACCTGACCCCACCCCTGCGCCGAGCAGTCTGCCTGCTTCCAGTCCTGGGTCTTGCCTGCAAGCTTCCTTGGAGTCAGGCAGAGCAACCTGCTCCCTGGCAGTCAGCAGATTAAGCCCATCGGCGCTGTACTGCACAGCTTTCCCTTCAGTAGATGTATTATATCAGGCTCCCAGCTCAGTACTGCATCAATTGCCATGCTGTTCTTGCTGCAAAATGTGCAGACAGTTGCCTTCTTGCTAACGTATGTATGGACGTTTCTGGGAACTATATCCTGGATCTGCATGAAGTGCTGGCAGGGGGCAGAGATAATTTGTCTTCCAGCTCAGAAGAGTCGCTGACTCAGCAAACTCCTCCCCTTGGCACAAACATTGCCAGAGACCCCTTGCATCCTTCGCCTGTGCTCCTGACATCCCTGTTTGTGTCTGGGCAACAGAGAGCTCCGATTTTAACTGAGCTCTGTGTGGTTTACCTCTACCCCAGGCACATATCACCCACTGAGGCTGATGTGCCAATACTGCTTTACTAAACCGAGCCCTCGCTCTGCCATTTACTCCTGCCTAGAGCTCAGCAACTCATGACCCATGGGACTCTGTTCTCTCCTTGGCACAACACAATCTGAATGAGCTCTCTCTCCAGCAGCTCTGTTTTCCCCACTCCCACCTAAGTGCACCCGTGCTTGCCAGCAGCTCAAGCATATTAGGAGTGGATGGGAAAGGCTGATGTTTCACATGAATGTCGCCCAAAACCTTTCTTCTCCTAAGCAAGTTTTTGGCTTTTCCTTGCCAGGGCAATGCAGCACTGCAAGAGACACCATGGTGCCTTGCAGACACCTTATCTTCACCTAGATCTTTGTGTCTTTTGAGTTGGGGTCTTATTGATGGAAGAGGGTGGGTAAAGAAACATTATGTTTTACTCTCATATTCTTTTCTTCTTGTCCTTCCCCCTTCTTCTACTTACAAATCTCTCTCCTTTATCGTTACAGCACCTGAAGGCGGCGCTCCCCTTCCCCCAAAATCACCCAGGACTTCCTACACAAAGACAGTCTGTGTGTGTACTTTGCTCCTGCTGTGGAGGAGTGCAAAGGGGAGGAGGGGAAGAGAGGGTAACACGGAAAAGGTTTCAAGATCACTGACCTTCAGCTAATTTAAGCACAGGAACAATTTAGCTGCTGCAGGGTGTAAATTCAAATAACTCTGGATCTCCTTCAATTTATATCAGGAGCAGGCCAGCACTGGAGTGACCGAAAACATGGAGAGGATGAAAAATTATTTTTGCCTACTTATATGGAGCAGACTTTGTCCCAGATTAGTGTCCAAATCTTGGATCAGTTTCCACTGAGCAGCAGTGTGTGTCAAAGATGCTCAGACTAACACTGACCTGAACTGAAGCATCACAGAGCAACAACACAACACACAGCAACACAACTCTGGGATCGTTGCCCTCCTACTACTGGGTTGGAGGCAAACCATGGCAAATCTGAGGGCTCTCCATGCACTCTGGTGTGCAAGAGTTGCAGGACCTTGTCTGTGCTGGCTGCAGCTCCAGCAGAGAATTAGGGTGAGGACTGTGGCTCTCTGATATGAATGCAGTAGTTGGGGTGGCAGCCTATAGCCCCTTATTTCCCCTTCCAAGAAATCTGCCCTCCCTTAGTTTTCTTCCTTCTTCTACCAAGGGTTCACCCTGTCTCTCACAGCCCCTCAGCCTTGTGCTCCCCTTTAGGTCCATTTCTTGTTCTCAACACCTTCTTCCCCAACCTCTCCCATGTCAATGCTGCTCACAGGTCAAGGATGACCTGTATGCAGAGCACATTTTCTTCCGTCAGCATCAGCCCCCATCTGTGGCCAGCTTAAGTCTCGCTCACCCCAGGGCCATGGTGTGAAAGGTTAGTTGGTAAATCTAAAGTAAGGAAAGAGGTCAAGGTACACCACTCCCATTCACAGAGCCTTCTTTTCTGCAACATGTAGCACAAAATTTATTGGAAACCCCGTAGGCAAGGACGCTCACCATGGTACATTAAAATCCTCTTAAGGAGTGAGTTAGTCTGTGATGAGTTACCAAATGAAATGCTATGATGAGTTGATGGAATGGCCTAAATACAGGCCTGACTTGCACACCATCACCAGATATAGCTCTGAGACGCAGCTAGCATGCCGTCGTTAAGGTCCATTAAAATCAAGCAATAAAATAGAGAATAAATAAATGTAAGTAATCTAATGGCTGTTTTTCCAGCTTTGATGATACATACAAAGTGCATGCACAAAAACAGGACAAGAGCAGGCCAGAGCTTATATGAGGCAGTGAGATTGTGTAATAATGCTGTATGGCCCTGCTGAGTATCCAGTTAAATGGCAGGGACATTGCACAGGCAGACTGGGGGCATGGAAAGACTGGACAGCCACTGTGTAGACAGGTGATGGAGCTGAACAAGAAAGAGTGGAGGAAAACCAAACAGGGGGTAAACGGAGTTTCTTGGTTCAGCAGCCAACAGGTCTGCAGTACAAACCTGCAGAGATACACGCTGCAGAACTCCATACATACATCACAGCCTGACAAGTCAGCTGCATACATGGCATGCATGGTGTATCACTGACATTGTGCTTGATGCACAAGTGGAAACCAGTGATGAGTAGTGTTCCTCAGGGGTCAGTGTTGGGATCGATCCTGTTCAACATCTTTGTTGGTGGCACGGACAGTGGGATTGAGTGCACCCTTCTGCACGTTTGCTGATGACACCAAGCTCTGTGGTATGGTCAACATGCTAGAGGGAAGGGATGCCATCCAGAGGGATGAAAGAGGGTAATTTAGATTAGACATTAGGAAAAAATTCTTCACTATGAGGGTGGTGAGACACTAGCACAGGTCACCCAGAAAAGCTGTGGATGCGCCAACTCTGGCAGTGTTCAAGGCCAGGTTGGACACGGCTTGGAGCAACCTGGTCAAGTGGAAGGTGTCCCCGACCATGCCAGGGGGTTGGAGCTGGATGAGCTTTAAAGAATCCAAACCATTCTATCATTCTTAGGGAACTGTTGCATTGTGCAGTGGCAGTAGGAGCAGGGATCACCCTCTGCCCAGACAGTGTCACCACTCTGGCAGGCTGGGAACACACATCTGGGATTAAACCTGTGCAATCATTTACTTAGTGGCATGAGGCACTGGAGAAGAAACCATCTCCTCTCTCTTCTCTATAGAAAGTGCAGAAGGGAGAACAAGTAACGCTCTGACATTTTGCCATTAAGCCAACAGTGAACTGGGCAAAGAAAATTCCTTACACTGGGGGGTGGGAGGAAGTCAGTTCACTTGTAACCAACGGAGCCCAGCTTGACTGCCAGCTGAGCCAGGCACACTGGAGCAGGAAGAGAAAGGCCCCAAGGCAAACAGGCAAGCTAATCTGTCTCTAGTCCCTTGTGCTTTGTGTGGTCTGTGAGCAAAGTCTGTGTGTATATGTGCATCACTCAGCACGTCTGCTGGAAGAGTGCTAGGAGGAGGAGAGAGAACAGAACATAGCACCTGGTTGTAAGCTAGGATCAGGAGAGATGAGAGGAACAAGAAAAGCCCCTGCAGGTAGTAGCAATTACCATTGCTCATGCAGTTGTCATTAGTACAAAGTGATAGTGTGCTGGCAGAAAAAGGGCTGCTTTAGAATTTGGGAAAGTTTGTAGGGGAACAAAAGGTTCACTGGGAAGTGGAGTATGAAATAGTGCAACCTGACTGCTAGGCAGCAGTAGGGAAGGAAGAGGAAAGCATGGGACAAAGAAGACTTGTGAGGAATAAAGGGCTGTGGGGATTACTTTTGGAGAGCTACTTACCAGACTGTTCTTATGAAGTCCAAAACTGCTTCACGACAAGAGTACTGCAGATGGTCACATATACCAACAAACCATTGAAGAGTTTATGTGCTGGCCTGGGATTCTCAAATTCATATGAAGAGCTGTAAGATCTCCATTCTCAAGTTAGCCACAGGTCAATGTGACACTCTTCCTACATTAGGGCTGGGGTTTAGGCTACTTTTTGGCCACTATGAGCCTTATCACACCAAATGTATGTTACTCCCCTTTCCATGTGGCAAATTTTCCACTAGAGAGTCATGTACGTTAGTGACTTGCATTTATATCCACTTCTCCCCTTTCCAGTTTCCAGTTCTTACAGGAAACCCACTGAGTCAGGGACATAAAGATCTGCAGAACATTTACAGTCCTGGTGCAAGTCCCCTCAGCTGTTCCATATGTCCAGTAGCATCTGTTATGGCTCAAAATAGGTTTTGCAGTCTCCAGGCTTTGAAAACATTGTCTCAGTCTCCACAACGTTCCCAGTGTTTTGCCTGCAGCATGACAACAGATCTCAACTAAAAGAAGGGAGAATATGTGAAGATACACTTGGACAGACTTTTGCGATGTGATGTAACAGGGTATACCCTAGAAAGACAAAGTATCTTGTGTGGAGGAAGTTCTCAATTCCTCCTCTGTGGAAGACTCAAGGCACAGCTAAGCATCTGGTAAAACATTTGCCAAAAGCTGAGAAACTGAAGAACCACTGGGATTTTGTGGTTCAAAATCCATCCAGAAAGGCAGTTGTGCATTGCCAACCTTGGCACACATTCCAGAAAGGAGGAAGGGCCCTGCTGGATGTCAACAAACCACACAATCAGAATGTAGAGCAAGGGGAGAGGGAAGTGAGTTCTCTGGGTGGATAGCTGGGCTACATTAGATACCTCCCTGACACAGGACAGAGAAAAGCAGCTGGAAGCAGAGAGATTCCCACTTACCCCAGGGACTGCTGGGGTCAGTGGGAAAAAAAGAAACACAGGGTTTAAACTGCATTACCAAATGTTTTGAAGGACAAGAGCAAAAGCCAGCCCCCTGCATGCACTGGAAAAGATAGCAAAGTCTGACAGAATACGTGGGTTTTCTCTAATAATGAAATTTTCCTGGAAAATGGGCACTACTCCTTGTCTGTTTGTATATAGGAGCCTGGACGCATATTCACAAAATTTAGCCTTACCTTCCAAACAACACACAGAGTGTTAAACCTTAATACCCAACTATGTGAAAGACTCTTAGTTAGTGTTGATGTGGCTGGTGGTGGAAGAAACCAGAAAGCCTGAATTGAAAAGATGTCACAAGCCAGATCCTGCTGTAAGATCCCATACTAGACAACACTGTCTAAGTGTTAAAGCATCTTAAAAAGCAGCACCTGCATTGCCCAGACTGGGAGGCCCCTCCACAGTTTAGCACCGCTTGCTGTTTCCAGCCAGTGCTCATTCTTTTGTTTTCATGTCAACACCACACTTCAGCTTTAAAAGTTTCAAGTGTTACTTAAGATTGCAGTTACAGACTGCAATCAGATGTCCTACATGACATGCTGACTAGTTCTTCTCTTTCCCCTGCAGGAAAGAGTTGCTGGAGAATTACCCCACTTGGGATAACTCAAAGTGTTGCTACCAGCCTTTAAGAACACAGTGATTGCCTGGGTGGAGAAATTCATAAAGCATGGAAGCGAAAACCTTTCCTTACCAGGAAGGAGAAGAAAATTAATTAAATCATAAATCAGAAAGTCTTAACAATTTGCAGGGCATGCTGCAACCTGCAAAGGAAGCCCTTTTGGGAAATCTAAGCCTGAACTAAATGGAAGCTGGCAAATATAAATGTTTATTATTTTATTCAGATCTGTGTCTGGCACTGTGTACTAAATTTCATTTCAGACCCCTGCACACTTATACTGAACACTTGCTATAATGCCAGCCCCAAGTCCCTGAAGAGTTAGGTTGTTAGCCTGGATGTAAGCAGGGAAATTGAATGCTTTCAAGTCACTGAAGTGAGTAGAAAGAAGGACCAAGCTCGACTCGTGAATGGGGAGAACAGAAGAAGAAATCACATGGACAGTGAAACTCTAGCTCCACGGGAGGTGAGCAACAACAGAATTTGCATGCAAGGCAAGCCCAGTAAGTCAGGACTCTGGCCAACACAGGTCAAAGGAAATGCAAATAAACACTCTCCAATAGGGAAGGATCCAGTGGATAGGAGGGGACGCTGCAAGTCTGTGACTGTAAGCATTCACAGCATCACCTAGAAAGGATGACCCCATCATCCTCAGTTGTCCACAGGTACCTGTTGCAATAGGCGCAGAATTTCTTTTCTCTCCCCCTCCCTTTTTTTTTAAGATGAGAAAATCCTAAATAGAACAGATTCTTGAACATTGCCAGGGATACCCAGGGGGAATTTCAACTCTCAAATGTAAGACAAGGATTCTGGGGAAAAGGTACATGCCATTGTGGGCTATTCCTCTGTAGGTCCTGGTTTCCCCAAGATTTTAAGGTTACATGGTAAGTGTCATGGAAAAAGCAGAAACACCCATGCAGTCCAATTTTCACCATGTGAGCTGGCAACCAGTCTCAAAAACTGAGCTGTGAGTGACTAACACAGAGTTTTAGGCCAAAAAGCCAATGAACAAGGACTGAAAGGAGGAGAAGACACAAGAGAGACACATGCCATTGTCCTTTCTGGGCCAAAGAGCTTGCTCAGGGCAAGAGACACAGTTCTACTCATGAAGACAAAGCAACATCTCATTTAAATCATCACGACAAAGTGATCCCATAAAAACAGAATTCCAGAAAAGGAATCACCCAAGCAACACTTACGAAAGTTCCATTCAGCAGAGAGACCTTGAAACACATGTTTATTTACCCTTTTTAAACCCCAGAATGTTTTTTCTCAAGGGGAATTTTGGACCATGAGGGTACAAAACTAGCTAAGTACACACTGCAGTTACAAGTCCAAGTGCAAGAAGGCATCCAAACCAAGTCTCTTACCTAAGTGCCAACCTGAAAGCCGTATTTGCTCCTTTAACAGCTGTCCTTCCCCAAAGTTTTGCATTCAAAGTGGCCATAAAGTGCATGGATGGCTTCTAGGACAACGGCAGAGAGCAGGATCATGAGGCACAGTTATAAAAGTATGATCATTCTGTGAGTGAACATGGTGCAATGCCCTGAGTCATGAGCTTGGCTTGACTCAGTTACTTCCCCATGCTATCACCAGCACTCTCTCCCTTCTATGTGATATGGTAAAAAGGTCTGAGTGCCACAGAATGGCTGAGGTTGGAAGGGAGGACATCTGATTCACCCTGCTTGCTCTAGCAGGGTCACCTAGAGCTGTGTCCGCGTTTCAGCTGTAATAGTTACTTTTCCCTTCCCAGTAGCTGGTGCAGTGCTGTGTTTTGGCTTTAGTCTGAGAACAACACTGGTAACACACAAATGTTTTAGTTGTTGCTAAGTAATGTCTACTCCATTCAAGGAGTTTTCAGTCTCATGCTCTGCCAGTGAGGAAGGGTACAATAAGCCAGGAGGAAGCAGAGACAGGACACCTGACTCAAACCAGCCAAAGGGGTATTCCATACCACAGCACATCATGCCCAGTATATAAACTAGGGGGAGTCACCTGGAAGTGACTGATCGCTGCTCAGGTTGGGCTGGGTATTGGTCTGCGGGTGATGAGCACTTGTGTTGTGCATCACTGGTGTTTATTGTTTGTGGGTTTTTTCCCTTTCTCATTTTAGTTTTGTATTCTCTCCCCTTGTTATTTCCCTTATCATTATTAGTAGTAGTTTTACATTATAGTTTAGTTATTGGACTGTTCTCAACTCGTAGGGTTTACATTCTTCCGATTCTCCTCCCCATGCCAACCAGAGTGGGGCAGAGGGAGAAGGAGGCAAAGGTTGCATGGTTCTGAGTTACCGGCTGGGCTTAACCCACCAGAAACTGGCTGCCCAGGTCATTTTTATCATCAGCAGTAGAGTAAGGAGAAAGTTCCAAACACCGTGTGTCCATAATTGTACCCAAAACCTTCACCTCAAGTTACTTAACCAGGAATGCTAAACCCATCTTCTCCACATCCTGTTTCAAGGCAAATTTATCTGCAGAGCTGGGAGATGAAGCAGCTTATTACACTGTCTTCCCTTTTCCCTCAGAAATAATGTTTTCAGGCTGTGCCCGCATGTACCATTCCACCCAGGCCCCATCATACACAGCAACATCTGGTTTGCCACAGAGGTATGCCCCTAGAGCCACATGGCAGGCAGTGACACCAGAGCCACACGTGGCTACCAGTGGCTTCAAGAGGTCCACCTTCTTCTCCTGGAACAGACTGCGGATCTGCTCAGGGGTCTTCTCTAAGCCAGACTCTGTCAGGAAATCAGTGAAGGGGATGCTCGTCGACCCAGGGACATGACCAGGCTCAATTCCTGGAGGAGAAGCAATACAGATAGGAATTAACCTCTACTGCCTAGGACAAATCTATTGCAAAACCCATTCTCTCTTTTACTGGGAGGAATATTTATTGTTTAGTGTATTCTGTTAAAACAAATACTTTTTTTTTTTAAAAAAAAACAACCCTTTGCTTTACTAGATTACCGATTACTCAGGAAGGATGGCTCTACCCTTCGGTCACCACATAGACACAAACCTGTCAAGTTCTGTTCTTCCTCCACATCTTCAGGGCATCAGAGCAACTCACCCTAATATGACACTGACTAAAAGCCCTTCTGAGGGGAAGAGTAGCACCAGTACATGAAGAGACCAATGAATATTTTTGAAGTGCATGAAAGACATGTTCCTCACCCCAGCCCCTCATGAGAAAAAAACAAACTTCTTCTCCACTCCTGAATTTTCAGAGTAGCACTTGCTATCAGAAGGAGAAGAGGGCAGGAGAATACACTGCCTCCAGCCCCACCCCATAAAAGACAACCATATTTCTCTTCATTACTTCTACAGGAGTCAAACTCCTTATATGAAGCCCCTTTTTATTATGCCAATATCTCAGAAGGCACATTACCATCTCGGGGCTCTGGCTCTACTCCCCGAAATCGTCCCGCAGCGCGTGCATCCACTAGTTGGAAGCGGTGGGAATCCAAATTATCCAAGACGTCCTCATACGTTTTCACCAGGGACTTGTCCAAGGAGGCATGGAACTCAGAGGGAGCTACCTGGCTTTTCCCAGAGCTCAGCGCATTCCCCTCTCGCTGCCAGTTCTTCAGGCCACCATCCAGAAGGGAGACGGCTTCATGTCCAAAGGCCCGGAACATCCACCACACCCGGGGCGCTGAGAAGAGGCCTTGGTCGCTGCCATCATACACCACAACATGGGAATCATTCCCTACACCCAGCTTCCCCACATACTCGGCAAAGTCATCAGCTTTGGGCAGCATGTGGTCATAAGGTGAAGTACGGTCGCTGCACTGGTCAATGTCAAAGAAAACTGCCCCAGGGATATGGCGTTCCTCGAATTCCCGCTTCGGGTCACGCTTCATCTTTGGCAAATACCAGGATGCATCCAAGATTCTCAAGGCCAGACCAGCTTGTTGGGACTTGATGGCTTCTGCAAGCCATTTTGCAGACACCAGAGCACGGTAGAGGAGTTGTTGCGACATTGCTCCTGAGTCCTGGCCAAGATTACCTGATTTCTGGGGTCTGCTTGAATTGACCACACTGCAAAATGAGGAAAAGCACAAATGAGAAACCAGCCTTACAAAAAGGAACTAGATGAAGATGCATTTTGGGAACAAAAACCTGTGTCTGCACTGAGGTGCTGGCTAAGCCTACAGAGAGTGGTTTGAAATGCTCCAGCCCTGAAAAGAAGTTGCACAGAGCTCAGCCCAAACCCTGCCCCGAGCATGACAGCCATGGCACAGCGCTGCCCTCCACACATCCCTCCGTAGCCCTCCAGCAACCATCAGGCAGCACTGACAGCAGCAAGAGGGAAGTGGGCCAGTGCCTGGGGCAGTACCAGGGACCCTTATCGGAGGGGACCAAATGCCCCGGTCCGAGAAACAGCCTCACAACGAGGGGACTCTGCCCCACCGTTGTCACCATAGAATCATAGACTCACAGAATGCTTTGGGTTGGAAAGGACCTTAAGATCATCTAGTTCCAGCCCCCTGCCATAGACAGGTACACCTCACACTAGACCATATCGCCCTTCCCAGAGCACACCTCCAGCCGAGCTCCGACCGCGGCCCTGCCGCCCCTCACGCAGGCAGGACCTCTGCCGCGACTCCTCCCGCTCCGGACACCCCCAACGCCAGCGGCGGCGGGGCAGCGGTTCCCTCCCCTCAGGGGAGCGCGACCGGCCCACCACACCGCCCCGTACCTCCGTGCTAGGCCTCAGCCGAACAGCGCCAAACCTCAATCCCCCCCAGCCATGGCCGCCACCGGGAGGCGGGAGTCGGTACCCTCCCAGCAGGCCGGCTCCGGGCGGTGCCACCCGGCCCCGCACCGCCCCTCGATCCGCGTCCCCCTGCCGCCGCCGCCATTTTGTGCGTGAGTCCCCGCTAGCGGCGCCCCCTCCTGGCCTCGGCGGTCCGAGATGGCGGCGCAGGTGCTCAGCCGGCCGCTGGTCACCGCCAAATGGCTCTCGGAGGCCGTGCGTGCCGGCCGGCTCGGGCCGAGCCTGCGGGTGCTGGACGCCTCCTGGTACCCGCCGCAGGAGCGAAACGCCCGGCAGGAGTTCAAGGAGAGGCATATCCCCGGGGCGTCCTTCTTTGACATCGAGGTGTGCCGGGACCAGTCCTCCCCTTACGACTTCATGCTGCCTAGCGCATCCCACTTCGCCGACTACGTGGGGCGCCTGGGGGTCAGTAACAGCACCCATGTGGTGGTGTATGACGGGGACGAGCTGGGCACCGTGTATGCCCCCCGTGCCTGGTGGATGTTCCGGGTGTTTGGGCACAAGGAGGTCTCGGTGCTGAATGGTGGTTTCAAGAACTGGGTGAAGGAGGGCCATCCCGTCACAGCGGAGGTCAGCCAGCCCCCCCCGGCTGTCTTTAAGGCCAAGCTGAACACGGGCCTGCTGAAGACCTTTGAGGAGATGATACAGAATGTGGGGTCCCTGCAGTTCCAGGTGGTGGATTCCCGCCCTGAGGGCCGGTTCCGGGGGACCGAGCTGGACCAAGGTAATGGAGGTGGGAACAGCACCCACCCCGCGCACCAAAGTGGGATGGATGAGTGTTAATATGAGCCTGGGCATAACGACTACCAGCCAGCAAATGGATTTTGCTAACACACAGTCATGCCTTAGCCTAACTTTGTTGATTTACCTTAAGGGATCCATAGTTGGGCATTCAGATCCCAGTGCCCCCACAGAACGCTTTCCTTGTGGTTGGTTTTAAAGCTGGAGGAGGAAATAGTAGCAAAGGTCTGCAGTCAGTTGGCTCCAGGATCCCCCAGTCCACACCCTGCAGAAGTAATCAGACAGAATGTAAACACAGGAGGAGAGAGCTCCCAGGGGTTTGTTCCGTGGCCTGTCTTACACTAGCACACATGCATAAATGATCACTATTCATATAGGCACCTCTCACCGCAATGAATGCGCCAGCAAAAGTCCAGGCTTTGGCAGTACAGTAGCCCAAAGGACTTTGTCCTTCTTGCTCTGATTCCCAGCAAACAGAAAACTTCCTTGAGCTGCTCTTTGTCCTTTTGCTTCAGTAAGAAAAGCCCCAGATCTTTACCAAATGTATGGGCTGTCAAGGTCTCTGTTTTGGCTGCCTCCAGAAGCCAGAACAAAAATTGATTCTGTTACCTGGGTCAAACACTGGACATGGAAGCAGCAGGGGTGGGAGAAGTCCTCTGCAGTGGGGACAGCTGGTACAGCAGTGTGCCTGGAATGAAATTCAAGTTGGTTGTTAAAGGAGGTCGTTACTGTGTAATTTAAGCCTTGGTATATCCCGGAATAGCCTCCCCTCTGAAAGGAAGTCACAGAAATAGCTTAAAAAAAAACCCCGAGTTTCCAAAACAAAGCACAGAAAAGCTCAATGAGAGTTGTTGGGTCTGAGTCAAGCTCTATGCTGCAGGAGCAGGTGTGTGGCAGGCTTCTGCAGTCCTTAGGCAGTGCTGCGCTGGCCTGCAGGTTGGTTGTCATTCAGTTCTGGCTGTTGTCTTACATGCGTGCAGCTGTATAGCCATTGAGCATGACTCCATGGCCTGAAATAATTCCCACATCCAAACCTCAGGAGCATTTGGCTGTAAATGGCTCTGTACACGTGGTTTGCATAAGTGTCTACAGTGAGCCCCCCTCCCCCCAAACACACTCAACCTGTGCAAGACAATGCAGAAGGTAAGAGAGGTAATGGGAGTGACAGAGGAGACTGTTGCATTGAGAGAGGGGGAGTTAGGCTTATCACTCATTCTGTTTCTTTGTCTACTGCAGCCCATCAAAGTGAAGGTTGAATTTTAACCTCAAGTCACAAATAAAACACTCCTCCCTAGGAGCTGGTGGATTTTGCATTCTCTTTCCCAGAGCAGGAGCTCTCACCAGGTGACAAACACTGCAGCCCCTGACAACTTCTTGAAAACAGATTTTTCTTTTGAAATGAGTCAGCATGGAACAGTTTTATTTGTGGTGGTCCAGTTTTGCTTCCCACAGCAGATCCAACAGGATAAGCATTCCAGCTGCAGCTGCTTGTTCCAGAGGAGCTTGACAGCATTCTGAACCAGCCTAGGCAGTAGCTATGCTGCAGCCAGCAGTGGGTAGAAGGGAGTGCTTACACCTAAAAGAGCAATTTGAAATCAATGCTGATTAATTACAGGGGTCATCCAGTTGGAGGAGAAACCTTGCCTGCAATTCAGAGAAGAATGGTCTTGAGGTTAAGGAACTTGCTGTGTTCTCAGGTGATTTCAGTTTAATTATTGCCTCAGCTCTTGACTTCCTAATTAAGTCAATTAATCTCTCCAGTTCCATGAACTCCATCTCTAGAAGAGGCTAAGAGGCTAATTTCAGCTGACTCTTTTGCCTCTTTAGTTTTTCAGTTCCTTGTGGTAAGAATCAGTTGTCTCTGTTTTATTTTTATGTAGCGGATACCTTGCTGGGATTTAGACCTAGAGTTTAAAATAAGCCATAATACATGGTCATTTTTTAGTTGCTGGGAGAGCTTTACCCAGGTTGATAGGGTGCAGAAAAATGCAGGTATTGCTTTGAATTAAAAAGCTTGGATGTTCATGCATGGTGTGCACAATAAGCCAATCAGATGTGCAGCCCTGACCTTTGCACTGAGTGGTTAAAGGTGTCCCTGCACGGTGTTCTGTGTTTCTGGAGGAACTAGCAACTCGAGCCCGCTCATTAGCTGTGATTCAGCAATGGTCCAACCAGGTTACTCAGGCACTGTAGGGTACATGTCTGTGTGACCAGCCTGAAGTGAAGCAATCCCAGGCAATCCAGGTGGCAAATGCTAAAAGTAATTACATGATGGTTACCAGTGCTGACTCTCTCTGAGTGCTGGGCACTGCAAACAAAGGAACAAGAATTATAGGTGAACAAATACATACCAAAAAGTTGTGAATTTTTTAATTCCTTTTCAGACACCTGAGAGAAGAGGGGAAAGTAGCCAAGCAAGAAATCCATCCTGTAGAAAAGAAAGCAAAGTCAAAGTCATTCCATGAGCTTCCCACTGTTTTTCTTCTCGTTCTCAGCCCTCAGGTAGTCTTTGTCTCCCTTGCACATACACAACTCTTTAGGTTTTGCCTGTTTTCCCAGCTCTCATTCCTCCCTGCCCCAAACATAAGGCTTTTGCGCAGCTTGAACGTTCTGTGGGAGTGAGAAAGAAATGTTGCTGCTTCTTCCCTCTCTTCTCCAAGTGGGGTCTGCAGCTGGGAGTGGACTGGCTCTACTTTGACCATGACTCAAAGCACAACATGGAGAGTGAGAAACTTTACCAAAGTCTGTTTCAACCCACAGGAACCTACAATCCAAAGCTGTCCATTCATGTGACGAGGTGGACAAGCATCAGCTGCTAGAATTAGCACTATGGCCCTACTGGTTCTTAGAGTTGAGTCTTCTGGCTGTGTATGCACGCAGTATTTTGGCGGTGGTGGCAACGTGATCTGATTGCGAGGACTCTCAGAGAGCTGGCCAGGACCAAGTTTAAAGTGCTCCTTCTGATGAGATTATGGTAGGTTAGTTGAGATCACTGATGGTTCCTTCCAAGGCATGCAATTTGAATGGAAGGGAGAGAGAAAAAAAAGGAGGCGACAGAGGAGGCATTTGGAAAGGAACTGCTAGCTGCAGCTAGCCAACTCCAAAACCACAGGGAATTAAATGTGGACAAGGCACATCTTTTATCTTTTTGACATTAAGAAATTCCATCTGGAGCTTTCATTGTAGAGAGAAAGGCTAGAGAGAAGGAGCTGTAGTCATACCTAGATAAATAGCCAACAAAAAATCCAACAAACGTTTAAGCAGAGAATCTTAACAGATGTGGAAAAGAGGATTAAACAGTGAAGAAGATAACATACTACAGGTTACAAATTACGAGGGAGGATTGCCAGAAGCCAAGCTGAGCGAGGCTTGGCAAAAGGAATTAAAACAAATAACAGAACCTGCTGGAGCAAAGCGAATAAAAAGAGGACAAGGAGAGAAAGAGTAAATAGGGTTGCTATGCAGTTAGCAGGGGTTCCAGCTGAAAGATTATTTGTATACAGCCTCAGAATTACAGAGTCTGTGCTACCTTTTTTGTTTAGTTTTTTCCTCCTGAGGATAAGTCTTCAGAGTAAAGAGAGAGGTGGCAAGAAGGGGAAAGAAGTGGAGATTATAATTTCTAAAGAGGAAGTATAACCAAAATATATCCATGTGCTCAAATCTGTGATGCAGATGATCTCCATCCCAAATCTGTGTCAAAAATCAGTCACTTGACATTGCAACTCCATGAGGCAAGAATTTAATAAATTTAATCAGAGGATGGTTCTGTAGGCCAGAAACTGGCAAAGTTTGTGTTTGTATTTAGGATAAGAGGTACAGCATGACCTAGGCAGCTGTTGATCTGTTATCCTAACATGGATAAATTGGAAGGTGTTTTTTTTTTAAAAAAAAAAATCAAGGAAAATTATTTTAAATTAAGGCAAAATTGAATAAAATACCTTAGTATTTTATTGGTATCCCAATACACTGCAGCTAAGGGCTCTATTTCCTTGCCAACAGAATTGATTTGCCAGGTAAGAGAAATGGGAACATGCATGCCTGGAAGTTATGTCTGATCTTTTCTTCCAGCCATTGGAAGCACCTTTGAGGTAGAGTTGTTCCGTTTGGACTTCATTAATATGTTGGGCATAATATTCGAGGGATAATTATTAATTCAATGTGAGAAAAAGGCAAATAGCACAAGTACTGTTAGTTTAAAAAAAAAACCTGATTGAATGGGAGATAAGAGAGATAAGAATAGTTTGTGCTGAAAGCTGATCTGTGGGGCTAGAAGTTGCCAGCAGTCCCCATCATTATGCTTCTGTGTTTTATTTCATATTTTCTGAATCATCAAGGCACTGGAAATAGGGAGTTGCTACTGAAATGTGCTGCTGGCACAGCTTTGGGGAGGTTTAAATGATCACATGGGGAGTATTATGTGAGGTACCATCTGCAGTCATAGAATTGACAGGAGGTTCAATGCTCCAGAGAGCAAGGTTGGATGCTTAGTACCCTGAAATACTTAATTGCATGTGTTTCTCTTACAAGCTGAAGACCCTACATTTGGAAGCAATAGAATAGGGTAAGACTTGGATGGATTAGTTGGCTGCAATGAACTCAAATACAATTTTGCCTTTAAAATGGCAATTTTTAACCTCTTGTCTACCAGTTGAGATGCTAGGAAATGTCACTTCCTTACCCAAAAGCCTGATGGTCACCTAGAACTATTTCTGGGGTGGCTGAGGCAGAGAAAAGCCTGGCTGTGATTTCTTACTGGGTTTAGACTAAGGCTGTTGGGAGTCCTAAGTGCTCACTATCAGCATGTTGTAGTGGTAGTAGAAAGGGAGAAAAACTATTTCAGTCATAGGGCAATGTTAACTCAAGGTCAAATGGTGTATGGACTGACTGTGATGAACTTAATGTTGGAAATTAATGTTCTTCCTCACGTGGACAAGGAGGTGCCTCAGTGGGAAGTTTCATGGCAAGAATCCAGACTGGTTCTGGGAAGGGTGCTTTTATGAGAGAAAGCCTATAAGGTGATCACTGTAGTAGCTGGGAGCCAGGCTCTGTAATCCTAGGGTTCCTTCCTGGAGTTTCTGAGGATGACTACATAAATCTGGTGTGGAGTGTACTCTGTGGACGTGAGGCAGGAGCAGGTGCATCCTCTTGCCTGTTCAGATCCCAGATGCATCCATCCTTACCTTCCAGTCCTGTGTTTCTCTGCTCTTGTCCTAGAAACGAACAAGCTGATGAAACTTCCTCAACCACTCAAGAGCACTTTTTAGGCAGTCCAAGGGTTTGTGGTTGTGCAATGTCAGCTCTTTCTTTCAGCTGAACACCCACATACATGAGTAAATACATCTTCTACAGAATTCCTTATCTTTCACTCAGAGTGCAAGCACTGGTCTGTGACTCCAACAGACTTTTGAATCTCTGAAGCGTGGAAATCTTTCTATAGATCAAAGACATAAACTCTGTAAAATGAGACAGATCTTTTCAGATCTGCTCAGCTCCTAACTAAGAGTTGTTTAAGGATGGTGTGTCACGACAGTCTCCAGTAAGACTACCTAAGATGTGTGAACAGTCTAGAAAAGCAATCATGACCATGGGGCTTGGGACACTTAAAAATTAAATCGGTATCACAGCAAGCTTCTTTGAACCAGCCCTTCTAGTTCAGCCCTAAGGACTTCTTGATCTTGATACACTTCCCAGTGCCC